GTCGACAGGTGACACGACAGTGTAAGTCAAGAGATCGAGACTGAGAAAAAGGTCATGAGTTTTGTATGCAAAGGTCACGAGATAGAGGTTAAGGTAGAAGGTCATGAGGTAGAGTCTGAGGGAAAAGGTCATGCAGTAGTGTAAATAGGTTACGGGGTCGAGGCCGAGGTAAAAGGTCATGAGTTAGTGTGATAAGATCATTGGATAGTGCAAGCAAGTAGACCTACTATTAATTAGTAGGCCTCTATGGTAGGTACCAATGAAGACCCGAGGCCTAGCGAGTCATATTTACCTAGCGAGTCATATTTACTTAGCGAGTCATATTTACCTAGCAAGTCATATTCACCTAGTGGGGCCGTATTTACCTAGCGAGTCATATTTACCTAGCGAGTCATATTTATTTAGCGAGTCATATTTACATCATCAAGCAGATGAAGCCCGAACACGTTTTTTTTTTGTCAGTCGGGATTAATTTTAAAACATGCCAGATGGCAAGTTGGGAAGGCCAACAAAGATTACGTCACATTAACTAGAAAAAATAGTGGGATCTTGTCCAGTTAACCCCCCCCCCCCCGCCACTAATGCAAAAAGTGCATGGGTGAAAAGTTAAGCCCTGTCACTTTTTGCCTGTTTCCATTTAATGCACGCACGCAACCATGACCAGAGGCGTAGCGAGGGGGGGGTGGGGGGGGGGGTGCGGACCGCACCGGGTGACACCCGACCTCGATCCAAATGTTGAGTTAGGCTTCTAAGTTTGATACTATAAAATATGACCAAGTACTTCAGTTAAGTAAGGTAGGTGATGCACAGTGCTGGCCACACCATCACTTTATAGGCCAATGTCAAACAGAAATTTTATATTACAACGAGAAAAACCCGTTGAGGAAGGATACAACGGGCGCTAGGCTGATAGTGCTGTCTCTTTTCCTAAACTAAAACCAACCCCACCCCCCCCCCCAACACACACACCACCCCCCCCACCCCCCAGACCCCACCCCCCCCCATCCCCCAAAAAAACATGTCTACCGTCCCATTTCAACGAAATATAATTATATACTTTTTCCAGTGTCCGCCCCCTCCCCAAAAATTCTACCCCCGCCCCGAAAATTTCAAGTACCCCCACCCCTCTCCGGGAGGAAAAAGTCTGAAAGAAACACTGGTGTCGCGCTTAGCCACTACCGAAGAATTGCATTAAAGAAATTGCAAGAAAACCACTTTTTAGATTAGACACATTAATTAGGCGGTAATTTTATTATAGAGTATCGATGAAGAAATTTCTTTTGAGTTAGGGAGGGGGGGGGGGGGGGGCTCAGACGTTCTTACGCGGGGGTGGGGCTTCGCCCCTACCCGAAGAATTGTATGAAAGAAACTCTTCACGCAAACCACTTAGATTAGACAAAATTGCCTTTTTATTCAATGTTTACTCGATAATCAATGACGTCATATTACTGTGTGCACTCTCTTGAGATTATTTTCTACTCTATGCTAAATGTGACCGCGTCATACTTCGTTTTTCGAATTACTGTGCATGTTTTTATTTTGCTTGTGTTTTCTCTACAGCGTTCTTGTCAGACAGATAGATAGATAGACAGACAGCGAAACTATTATATAGAACTAGATCGACCGGCTATTCGATTGTAAACATTCTCGTGAACCACAGCTCACCAGACTGTTAGGGGTGAACGCGTCTAGCTAGTTATCTCCCCTTCTGTTATTGAATATAGTAATCTATCCAGTGATTTATTTTTGTTATCTCCCCTTAGTTTCGAAACAGATTCTTTCATTTTTAATAAAGAATTAACCATCTAATTAAATTAAAGAATAGATAGACTTGTATTGTCATCGAAATGGAACGTACCTAGAAAATGTGAAAGAAATCGCTGCATTATAAGTGGGTCAAAATTTAGTTACAAGATTTGCCACAAACCCACAAACAAACGTTGCGAACTAAATAAAAGCTTTTATAAGCAAAATAGTTTTTGTGGAATTCGCTTCGGATGCCAAAACGTATATCGAAGTGTAAAAATCCGCAGCCCACAATATGGCGGAGTTCTGGCCGCGATCCAGATCGAGGCAAGGACATGACAGCTTGAGATCCACTACATAACGCGCCGCGGCCCGATGGGCTCTAATGACCATTGTTCATGTCCGTATTGTGACGCTCCCGTCTAGAGGACGAGAGACACAACAAATGAGACCAGTTGTGTACTTTGCTCTGAGTCTTTTGAAATCACCAACTGATGTGCGCTGCAAAAGAGAATGATGTCCCCACAAAAAGCTGTATAACAGTTTTTAAGATTAAGTATAGTCTATTTACTGCGTTATGGAATATCGATTCCACAATGACATATATTAAAACTGTTCTATACAATATTTTGTTTAAAACTATCTGAGTTTTGTATAACTCATTACTGAAAAGACCAGGTATGCTTTAGCCTCAGTAGAACAAAGAGCTTACATTTTCAAAGAATTATTCAGATAGCAGATGTAGGGTTTGTTGTATAAAATAAGGTATTTAATGCTTACATATTCTAAGACACGAGAAAAATGGCCCGTTGAGGAAGGGTACAACGGGGCGCTAGGCTGATAGTGCTGTCTCTTTTCTCTAAACTAAAACCAACCCACCCCCCCCACACACCACCCCCCACCCCCGCCCCCCACCCCCCACACACACCACCCCCTCCACACACCGCCCACCACCCCCCCACCCCCCCTCCACCCCCCCCCCCCCAAAAAAAACATGTCTACCGTCCCATTCAACGAAATATAATTATATACTTTTTCCAGTGTCCGCCCCCTCCCAGAAAATTCTACCCCCCGCCCCCGAAAATTTCAAGTACCCCCACCCCTCTCCGGGAGGAAAAAGTCTGAAAGAAACACTGAACCCAACCCACCCCCCCCCCCACCCACACCACCCCCACCCCCCCCCCCACACCACCACCCCCCCCACCCCCCCACACACACACCACCCCCCCCCCACCCCCTCCACCCCCCCCCAAAAAAAACATGTCCTACCGTCCCATTCAACGAAATATAATTATATACTTTTTTCCAGTGTCCGCCCCCTCCCCAGAAAATTCTACCCCCGCCCCCGAAAATTTCAAGTACCCCCACACCCCTCTCCGGGGAGGAAAAAGTCTGAAAGAAACACTGAAACCAACCCACCCCCCCACACACCACCCCCCCACCCCCCCCCCACACACACACCACCCCCCCCTACCCCCCCCCCCCCCACCACCCCTCCACCCCCCCCCCCCAAAAAAAAAAACATGTCTACCGTCCCATTGCAAGGAAAACCACTTTTTAGATTAGACACATTAATTAGGCGGTAATTTTATTATAGAGTATCGATGAGGAAATTTCTTTTGAGTTGGGTAGGGGGGGGGGGGCTCAGACGTTCTTACGCGGGGGTGGGGCTTCGCCCCTACCCGAAGAATTGTATGAAAGAAACTCTTCACGCAAACCACTTAGATTAGACAAATTGCCTTTGTATTGAATGTTTACTCGAAAATCAATGACGTCATTACAATTGCGTACACCTCCTCCGGCTTGCTCTAAGCTAAATGTGACCGCGTCATACTTCGTCTTTCGTTTCACTGTGAGAGTTTTTATTTTCCTTGTGTTTTCTCTAGAGCGTTCTTGTCAGACAGATAGATAGATAGATAGATAGATAGATAGATAGATAGATAGATAGATAGATAGATAGATAGATAGATAGATAGACAGACAGCGAAACTAATTATTATAGACGAGAAAAATGGCCCGTAGAGGAAGGATACACCGGGCGCTAGGTTGATAGTGCTGTCTCTTTTCTCTAAACTAAAACCAACCAACCCACCCCCCCCCACCCCACCCCCCCCCCACCCACCCCCACCCCACCCCCACCCCCCAAAAAAACTTGTCTACCGTCCCATTCAACGAAATATAATTATATACTTTTTCCAGTGTCCGCCCCCTCCCCGAAAATTTTACCCCCGCCCCCGAAAATTTCAAGTACCCCCACCGCTCTCCGGGGAGGTAAAAGTCTGAAAGAAACACTGGTGTCGAAGAATTGCATTAAAGAAATTGCAAGAAAACCACTTTTTAGATTAGTCACATTAATTAGGCGGTAATTTTATTATAGAGTATCGATGAGGAAATTTCTTTTGAGTTGGGGAGGGGGGGGGGGGGGGGCTCAGACGTTCTTACGCGGGGGTGGGGCTTCGCCCCTACCCGAAGAATTGTATGAAAGAAACTCTTCACGCAAACCACTTAGATTAGACAAAATTGCCTTTTTATTCAATGTTTACTCGATAATCAATGACGTCATATTACTGTGTGCACTCTCTTGAGATTATTTTCTACTCTATGCTAAATGTGACCGCGTCATACTTCGTTTTTCGAATTACTGTGCATGTTTTTATTTTGCTTGTGTTTTCTCTACAGCGTTCTTGTCAGACAGATAGATAGATAGACAGACAGCGAAACTATTATTATTAATAACCCAGTGGCGTCACTAAGTCAGGTGCCACCCTGAGTGGTAACGGCTGGTGTCACCCTCACCCCAAAATTTTTATCTTTTTTTGGTTCAGGTGTCACCCTTCCCCCTCTACAATTTTTTTTATTTAACTTGATAAACATTTTTTAAAATTACATTTTATGATTTTTTTATTTGGTGTCACCCCGGCAACACCAAATTTGCGACAAAACTGCACAGATTACAGGTAAAATATTAAAGGCAGAAAAAAAATAGAATACATTATGTATTGGTACTTTCCTTTTAAGCCTAAAATAGAGAAATAACAATTCATCAATTAAGTTAGCAGCCTATCAGTATTAGGGTTAGGACTAGAGATGGATTAAGTATAGTTAAAATCATCAAGTTATTTCATAAACTAAGATGAGGGTTGGATTAGATTGGTCAATATACTGGCAATACCAGTTTAAAAGCATCAACAAGAGTTGTCTGTTTCCATAATCCTGGATTAATAGAAAAGTAACAAATTGTAAATTATACTTACTAAAAAAATACTGGTGAATTACAATTTTCCCAAACAAAAGTCCCAACACAATGGCAAAAAACCAGAATACAAACTTCACAAGACTTAAAGAATCCTTTGTCCACTTTGTTACAATAAAAGAATAAGCATGGCCGATAACAGGAATGCTGCTTTCTCCATAACTATGCGCAATTGGGTCTTCGGCGTAAATTAAGAAATTGCATAAAGTCACAATATAAGCAGTGAAGAAACGAAACCTTGGATGCTGGAAATGGTAACGGAAATCCTTTTCCATGACCAGGGACAAGACACTACAGGTGGCGACATCATCTTTTGTGACAACCTCGAGAGTAACACGTGTTGGTTCTGCAGCTAATTCTTTTAATCTCACTGCAAGATACTCCATATCCTTACTATCAGGGGGAACTTCTGATGATTCAATATCTTCTTTTTCTTCTGCGATTTTCTTTAACGCTAAATGATATTTTTTTTGCTTCTCCACTTCCACATCAGTTGCCAGATTATCTTTTTTCTCATTGTTCTTCTCATTGGACCTGGCTACTTTGTCTAACTTGTGAATATTCTCCTCCTTAACTTTCTTCATATCTTCTTAAGTGGTGGATGACCTCTGTTCATTATTTAAAAAACACCAACACCCAGTTGGTAGATGACAGAATCTAACTTGTTGCTATGACTTCAACTTGGACACATCATATTCTTTTACAAGGAAAAACCTGGAAATTTAAAGAAATGCAAATGATTCATAGGAAACCAGGATATAATACTATTCCCAATACTATTGGGATTATTAATATTTAAACCATGCCTGACATCTAAGTGGCTTTAGAAAATATCATGCTTAGTTAAAATATTTAGTATAATAAAGCTTAGGCCTACATGCTAAGGGTTTAAGGTTTCAAGTTAAAGGGTTTTACAATGCGATAATAGAATGCAACATAACGTTAAAACTGGCGATAATAAATGTCTTATAGTAATTAGTCTACTACTTCAACAATCTATTAATTAAACAACAGGGAAATACTTGCAAAGAAATTATTTTTACAATGTGTTATTAAACTTAGTAGGAAAGTGGTTTTAGAGTTTCTTCCATGCTTCTCTTCCGGGGGTACTGCCCCCTCACCCAAACAAAATAGAATTTATATACAAATTATATACTTTAACCAGTGTCCACCCCGCCTTCCCCAGAAATCAAAGTCCCCCCCCCCCATCCCCCCAAGTTTCAAGTGCCTCTTATATCCCAGAGAAAATTGTCTGAAAGAAACACTGAGTGGTATGTTAAAAGGTGGTGGTTGGGATTTTGTGTGAAAAGAAGGGGTGGAATAGGGTTGGGGTGGACATGGTGACAAATTGGTTTATGTGGCGGTATGCAGCTTAAATAATAATTGGCCAACTTTGTCTGCCAGTATGAAACTTGACATGAATAATAATGTGTTTTCAATTGTACAACTGCTCAAAGGTACTGAATTTGGATAAAACATTTGTTCATATTTTCATTCCAAGTAGTTTCCATAAAACTTTAACCTAAACAACAGGGAATGTTACAAAACATTTAAACATAAGATTAGAAACAAAAATTTTGCCTGTTATCTGACAGGCTTTGCAACTGGTAAGTTTATAAAATAACTGATATAGACTAGATCTAAGTGTGTAACAAGCCCAAAGACAAAATCTACTAAATCTAGATCTAGTCATAACTTAATAAATTAAATTAATTTAATTAGGCCTAACTAGCTGTGTCTAGTAGTCTGACTATATTACTCATTAGTTAGATCTTCTAGTTAATTCTAAGTTAATCATTAGAAACTAAAAGTAGGCTACTAAACTTAACTAAACTAATAAACTTCTAACTTAAGATTAGAGTTTTTTTTTTTTTACTATTTAATAATAGGTAAAATCTTAGTTTAGCGTCGTAAATTCCAACGTAGCTAGTAATGTGCGATGAAGGTAACTAATGAATATTTCTTTCATTTGGCCATATTTATGGCATATTTTACACAATATAACAGATAATTGAATAACAAATCACAATCCAAGACCAAACCAGTCATAAATATCCTGGAATAAACTTTAAACTACCCCGTTCGAGACAACAATGAGTAAATACAAGCAGCGGCCATGTTTTAAAAACAATAAATTGTCTATTCGCATGTCTTTTGTGTTGATTTTGTGGTTTAATATGATTGTTTTGTATTGTTTTAATATATGCGGGGGGGGGGGGGGGGTCGTCCATAAATGACGTCACACTCGTAGGGGGGAGGGGGGTCCGTATTTTTGTGACGTTGTGTGATGAGTGGGAGGGGGAGGGGTTCAGATGGTGCGACGTCACACATTGCATTTTAAAAAAGCAATGTTACAAAACGAATTATATACGTTATTTTGCGTTTAAAAAAACTGTTTTAATACATTGTAATAACAATTGAGTAAATAATCTATTTTGACAGAGTTCAGACAAGATTTTGGAAAAATATAGCTGTTTAAAAACAATTCAACTGCAAATTTGAGGGGGTTGTAGGCTGAGGTGTGACGTCATTTTAGGGGAGGGGGTCTGGCTTTTTGTGACGACGTGTGACGGAGGGGAGGGGGGGGGGTAAAAATCGTCAATAAAAGCGTGACATCATTTATGGATGACACCCTGTATAGTAATTTTTCTTTTTTTTTTTTTTTAATATAGTTGACATGAATGACTAATAGATCTTATCAGACTTAATAGTGTGCATCCAAGACCACAACAATTGTTGGGAGGTCGAACTTTTAAACACTTTATTTGCAGTAAGCAAATCAATATTAGATCGCTCATAAATGACATCGCTCTTAAGATAGTAATGATAGCGTGCATTATTACAGAACAAACATATGAACATATTGTTTCAGATAGAAATTGTGATTTGTGGTGGGGAGAGGTTGAGTAGAACTCAGCGATGTGATTTTGGAGACGGGTCAGGTTTTTTTTTTTTCGTGAAAACGGGATGGTTGTGGGAGAAAGACCAGCTGTAGAAGTATGACGCGTCATTCATTGGTGATCCATTTTCTCAGTGGGGACGAAAGAACTATTAAGAAGGGTCAAGAAATCTAAAAAGCTTGCCGAGTCGCATTTATTGAACCCCACCTTTTTCATTCCCCCACTTAGCAGATCGTCACCGAGTTAACGCTCGCACGTGACGTCATGTAGCGATACCGCCGACCGTTAGGCTAATTTTATAGAAAAAACAACAACAAGCACTGCCTTTTTGACGCTTTTGCGACGTTTAATATGATTACATAAGTTGGTGTTCATTAAACAGCCCCTAACACATCTATCACTCGTCCATAAGTACGTAGTTATTTCTGCAAGCTTGCTGTCTTGAGACTTTCGGCCCTTTAAAATGTATTAAAAATGTATAGAACTAGACTACCCATATTAATTAAGCTCCAAAAGAAGCTTGGTGAAAACAGGATGGCCGCCCGATTTTGTAGCTGCTCTGCGCTTTATAAAAAGCACAATAAACGATAAGATGACACTTATATTAAAGTAAATTATAGTTCTGAATCTTGATACATTAAAAGTGATTTTCGGAAATTAAGAGCCAGACAGTCAACATGATATTTCAATTTCAGTCCAAGAAAATAAATTTCCTCAAACGATGGAACATTACTAAATTTTCACGCAGTTTAGCGAAATTGAATTTAAGTATTTACGTCATCTTACAAAGCGCGATAGCCTACTGGTGCTCTAACGCGGCCCATGCTAATGGCCGTATTCCTAACGCCCCGCATTAGACACGGCTTATTCGTCGGCAGGCATTTGGTGGCAAGCCTTTTTGACGGGGATAATGTGTTGCGGACGTTTTGCCGAATGCCTTAAACTAGCAGGCTTGCAACATTTGTGATGATTCGTTTTAAGCAAGGTATACGTATACTAATGCTTATTTATCGTTATTTTGATTGAACAAAGCATTATAGAGGTTCTCCATCAACCACCTAGGTATTTTTCCCCGTTCACCTCCTTTCATGAGACCGACACGTCATAAATTGCAAAGCCGCCTGAGTTGACGTCACAAATCTTCACTCACTCCCGTAGCAAATCATATGTGACATCATTTATGGACAACCCCATATCACTCACGTGTGTACTTGATACTGACAATTTAACAACAAAGGATAACCAACATGTGTCTGGCAGGTGGAGACTTGCGATCGACCATAATGACAACACGCACTTAAGGGGTGGACTGGCTCATTGTTTTAGATGATGTTTTACGAGGGAAGCTGGTGGATAATACATTTTGTCTCTCTGTATATATAAATGATGACAAATGATTTAATGTTGTCAAAATTATGGTTAGAGATCTTAGATAAGGCGGAGTGAAGCGTAATTTTTTACATTATGACTTGTGACATTGACAACAAAAATATGACGGAGTTTGGGGTTTAATTAAGGTAAAGAGAAGCAAAAAATGTCATAAGTTACGATAGAATCACTAATTGATGAAAAGAAAAACCTAAAATGAAAATAGTGAACTTTCAAACAAAAAGAAAAAACTCAAACTATATAGTAATAGTAAGATCAAATTAACATTAGTAAAAAAAAACGTGATTTAATACATGAATACAAGTTGCATCTCACAATGCTTCTAGAATTAATAAAGTTGTTTGTTAGAAAATTCAGTTTTTAAAGAGCAGAATTTTAAAAAATGCTTTGTAATACGGACTATACAACAAGACAATCATATTTAAATACATTTTCATACGAATAGAAATAAAAGGGAAGCTACTCTAAATAACAATTTCTTAAGATGGCTGCTGTTTTTAATAGCAAATTTACTATCTCGAACAGGGTTGATAAAAATTAATTTCAGGATATTTAAATTGATTTAACCATAAATGGTGATCTATTATTCAATTATTTATAATATTTTATCAAAATATACGAAAATATACTCATATTTAATGACATATTCATTAATTCACTCTCTCCTACATTACTAGTTTTGGCCGAATTTACGACGCTAAACTAAGATTTTACCTAATAATATTCTATAGACAAACTCACCATAAAAATAAAGGCTGAAAATTGTACTAACATTAAAATAGATCTATTCGACTCTAGCTTCTAGATAGATCTATAATATAGCCTAGATTCTATATTTATATTATTTATTTTGTATTGAGTTGAATGTATTTTTTAGTTGTAGCTTACTTGTAAAAACGAGTGTGAAATACTAATTAGTTCTGCAAGTATAAAAACAGTCAATACATAACATGACCTTTGTTACCAATTAAATTATCTTTCGCTGCAATCCTTTCACAATTTATAATTATCTACATTAATTTAGTAAGAAACAAAGTTAAAAGTTAATACACTGCAATTGTGAATAATAATCTTACCATAAGTTGTAGACCTAGCTGTTTTTATACATGTAGTTCCTTTTCACTAGCAAGTGTTTTTGTAGAGCCCGGACAACCCAGAACAGTTTTTTTTTATTATTGCGCTTTGCCGCAAGGGTGTAGTTCTAGCATCGAGTGATGACATGCCACGCCCATTTTTCTGTTGTCAATAAGATTTTGCACGGTTTGTACCAGAGGAAACATGATGATGAAAACACAAACACTAAACTAGATTCATTGTGTTTGCCTGTACAGACATGTAGAGATCAAAATCGTTTTTTTTTTCCTGTGACTTTTTTTCCGTTTACCGTCCTACCACTGTATGTTTTATAGTAGTTTTATACTAGTCTATATTACCCATAGTAGTTTAGTTTCGATATCAGATCAGATAGATCTAGTATAAGTAAAAGAGATAGCAATTATTAGCAATAACAAAGTATCAATGACCCCTCCCAGCAACACGCTTTTTTAGTTTAGAGGTTTAAAAAAAATTGTACTTATAAGGCCTATTAGCAGTATGTAGAGTGATCCGCTACTTCGTAGACATCGGATGGAGGGAAATTGCACTATGAAAAAAAAAAATAAAAAAAATATATAGGCCTATATAGGCCTATATATATATATATATATATATATATATATATATATATATATATATATATATATATATATATATATATATATAGGCCCTATATATATATATATATATATATATATATATATATATATATATATATATATATATGCTATGTGTGTGTTTTGTGTGTGTGTGTGTGTGCAGAGGTTCAAAGATAATGGTAGTGTTATAGAGTTGCTCTATCACAACCCTACAACACACACACACACATATATATATATATATATAGGCCTATATATATATATATATATATATATATATATATATATATATATATATATATATATATATATATAAATCAATATAACAAAATGATTAACCCCAACCCCAACCCGGCTTGCTATGCGCAGTAGATCTATATGTAAGATTCATTAATACATATCTAAACCTATGCTATAGTATACAGACACGCCATACGTTAAACAGCGATATCAGACTATAATAGAAAACTTTAAGTACTTTTAGATGACAATTTTTAAAGGTGTTGCACAATACCTACTTGGCGATATTGTGAATGTAAATTTACTAGTTAAATTTAAAAATAACACGTAGGCCTAGGCCTAGTCACTTTTGTTAAAATAAAAACTAAAATTTTTCTCTTCATCAAACCATGAAATATGTAAAACAACCGCATTACCATGATAAAATTTATCTTATTGCAACCATTAATTTATAATATAAAGAAATTAACACGATGTAGGCCTAATAAATATATTATTAAAACAGGATTTTAAAAGCCTACTAAATTTAGAATTCAAACTTTGATTTCCTCTCTGTCGTCACTGTGATTTAACTTAGCTTTCGTTTATTAGATTCATCTTTAATATTGACAACAAAAGAACTTCCTACTCAATTTTTGTGCCATACTCTGGACTACACCTAGAGCTACTGTTCTCTTAATAAAATTAATAATTTAACCATAACAGTTATTCTCATATCTTACATTTAGGCTAGATCTAGAACTACTTCTTCCCGTAACAGTCTAACTTAACACAGTACTGAGTAAGTTAAAGTTAGTTAACAGTGCAGTTTAGAAAGTCTAGACTCTAGACTCTAGCTAGACCTAGACTCTAGTCAGTCTACTCTACTGAGTCTACTCCTACCTTACTACCTTACTTTAAAATAATTACTTTAAAAAAATAGGCCCTACTTTTACTATTACATTACTACTCTAGTACTAGAATCTAGATTCTAGTACTAGTTACTTACTAGTAGTAATACTGCTACCACTAGATTATTAGATAGGCCTATATATAGGCCTACTATATTTTAAATATAGAATCTAGATCTAGCTTTCATTAGGCTAGGCTAGGCCTAACCTACTTGAAGTACTTTTTAAAAATTTCTAACTCTACTATTCTAACCAACCCCCCAAACCACCACCATCAATCAAATACAGCCACCATAGTTAGGTCTCAAAGTTCCGCTCCCCCTAAAGTAAAATTATTCCAGTTTGCAGGAGAATTTAAATCAATCAGTGGTTCTTTTTTTTTTTTTTTAAATTGAAAGAAATATAAAACGTACTCTTCGTCACATATCTTAACCCCACATTTCATCCCTTCTTAGCATGCAGTCACTTATGTAACATACAGTCACTTATGTGTCTGTAGATTTTCAGGGCTGAAGTTTTGTTTTTATAAATTGTGATGACTCTGGTATCGATAAAGATAATGTACAGGTTACTAAGAGTCACATCAACGTCCAGCATGTTGACCGAAAGGGTGATGAGGCTGCCGATTTGATTTTGTTTGTCATCAAATGTATGGCACATTGTTAATAATTGGCAAGGAAATTATTCTTTATTAAAAAAAGGAATAATCTTACTATTTAAGAAATATAAAAATCAACAACAACTAATTGTTTTCTTTATTATGAAATCAATTATAATGGGTAAACAATTACTATCATTCATTTCAAAATTTGAGGCTTAGTTGACATAAGGTAGATCAGAATAATCTAATTTTTTAAAGTCATGCCACATTACTACATATAGTTAGACTTATTTATTCCCTTAAATTTTCTTCTTTAACAGGAAAACATCAAGATGACTATGATGGAATTTTTCGGTTGCAGCTTCATAGCATTTGGACCACCTTTTGCTTTGTTTCTCTTTACCATTGCTAGAGATCCCATGCGAGTCATTGTTCTCATTGCCAGGTAATGTGTCCATGTCTTGTTAAAGTATCCTCGTCATTTTGAGGTAATGTGTCCATGATTTGTTATATTGTCAATGTCAGGTAACATATAAATATCTTGTCATGGCCAGGTAAAATGTCCTGTTTTATTATTATTATTAAGTTACATGTCAATGTCTTGTCATTGCCAGGTGAGGTGAACATGTTGTGCCTATGGCTTCTCGTAACATGATTATTTTTCTAGAATTGTTTTTTAATTTAGACTTATTTGAAAATAATGTATATATAGTATATAGGGTCACCAAAAGAATGTAACATACATATATACATATATATAAAGGCCTATAGTCAAATAATTGTTCTGACACTATACTATATAGGTTATATAGTTGTTTTTTACTCTGAAATAATTAATTTTTCGATATCAGCCTTATATATCAATGACTAATTGGTAATTACTTTTTGTTTCAGTTCATTTTTCTGGTTGCTAGCGCTACTGCTGTCATCCATACTGTGGTTTGCTGTTGTCCCGTTGAGGGAGACACTAGCGTTTGGGCTTGTGTTTTCTGTCCTCTTTCAAGAGGGCTTCAGGTTTCTTTTCTACAAAACTATGAGGTAAAAGTTAATAATTTCTTTTGTTTTCAATGCATGGTTTCAGAAGTAAACAAAAATAGCCATAAATTCTATGTGATAATTTTTATTACATTTCATGGATTGCTTGAAGTGAATTAATTTGATATTTAATCTGTTATTTGAGATGGAGTTATTGTAAAAACATTTAGTCCTAGTAAAAGGGGCATAACTGCCAAAGCCAGATGATTGTGTCATGAAATAAATTTAAAATATCACAATTTACCCTATGCAGTAAATTTGTCTGTATGACTAACATAAGAGTATAAAATATGGAACAACAATTTTAAAAAGTTTAGTTTAAATACATAAAACAGTTTTACAAAATTGTTGTTGATCTAAATTAAAACAAGTTAATTAAAAAGTCTAGTGACATTTAAGCGCAATTTCCTTATGTTATCTAAAAATAGCTCTGTCGTAGCGTAAATCAAGAGCAGGGTTAGTAAAACCATTGGTTAGTTATTAAAACGTTTTTTATTAATTTTTTTCAGTATTTTACATGTTTTATTTACAATGGAGTTACATGACTAAAAACCATTGCGCGCCTAGCTACTGAACGTGATGACGCAGCCATTGAACGTGATGGCGCAGCTATTGAACGTGATGACGCGTGTGGTGTGGTTGGAAAAAATGCCTACTAATTCGGTCCAAATTTTAATTAATTAAAAAAAATTTTTGTGACCGAACGAAAGGATATTTTTGAAAACTTTCTTAGACAATATTGTTCTAAATTATGGCAGGAATCGATTGGTACATGTTTCAAGTCGCTAAGTGGTCTGGTTGCCGAGATATGGGCCAAAAACTGCTTTTTTTCGAGGTTTTTTGGCTTTTCCGGGAAATCCATGAAAGAAGCCCGTAATTTTTATGGCCTATGTTCATCCTTGTAACTTGCTTAACATAATTGCTTTTGGAACTAGTCATGGATATTGCTTCGTTGAGGAGGAGATACGACTTAAAGCTGCGGACACACATCCATCCATCCATCCATCCATTCATTCATACATTCATACATCCAGAAATGACGGGTTAATAAACGCAATTCTCCAGAATGGAAATTGCGCTAAAAAAATCTACTCACATATAATATGAATTTTTAAATGTAGAAAACAAATGCTGGCTAAAGAACAGAAAATACCAATGGTGTACCTATATATCATACTGTTAATTCTGATTATTTCAGGCTGGCTAACGATGGGCTGCTAAAAGTGAGTCAACAGACTGAAGATCAACATGTGACGCCAAAAGATTTCTCAAACAAACATATAATGGCTTATGGTAACTTTTAATCACTTAGACTCATACAGCTTACGGTCACTGCAGCTGTAGTTTTTTAAAAATATCACGGTTTTTAAAATGAAAAAGGTCCACTGTAGGTTATTTTTAGGTTCTCAAAGTTGTATGTAAAATTTTAAACTAAAATGCGTACTTTGATTAAATGTGGAGGTCGGCATGGTCAGGTTGGTAACCTTGATAATAGCTAAACTGAAATAGCTGGGGACAGCAACCCATCTAGGAGAGAAAACAACTGCTGCATCTTGAACAAGGGTTATGGAAGCAAATCCAGAAAAAAAAGCAGGCTGAAATTACCCGTATGGGGCATAACGAGTTGGCACGTAATAGTTAATTGTGTTGGAGGAAATCCCTTACAACATTACAATTAATAATGAAGAAGATGAATTAAAATGTTTTTTACCACCTTTTGTGATTTAGTTTCAGGACTTGGTTTTGGAGTTATATCTGGTGCCTTCTCCATTGTTAATGTACTAGCCGACATGACCGGACCTGGTACTATTGGAATTTATGGCGATTCTAAATTCTTTTTCTGGAGTTCTGGTAAGTATACACTTTAACCTAAAATAATTCCCTTGTAGATAATAGTGGAAATAATGATTTTTGTTCGTCATGGCGTTTTTCATTTTAAAATATTTCAAATTACTGACAAGGACCTTAAAGGACCTTGCTCATAATAGAGCAGTAAATGGAGTGGCTTTGAGTAGATTAATATTTCCCTGATGAAAATGTAAGGGGGTAAGGTTCAGTAAGGTTCACCTGGTTCTGTGACCATCGGCATACGAAAGGATAGTGTGGTCAGCACTATGTCCAGCCGCCTTTACTTTCCCTAATGTGACTCAGGTACCGATTTGAGCTAAGTAGACTCAGGGACATTCTATTGACTTGAACCCGGAATCGAACTCAAGATTTTCTTGTCATATGATCTACTATTAATCCACACTGTCCCCAAGATGAAATTGTGGATGCCTCACTCTAGTGACAGTGTGGTTGGATGGTAGAGTGCATGACGACTAACCCGTAAGTCTCTAGTTCGGATCTCAAGTAGCTCTGATGCATACCTGATTCATTTTTTGGGAAAACTAACACAGCTGGGAATAGTGCTGACCACACTATTTCATTATATACTGTGGTCATTGAAAAAGATTAACTCCACTTTATATCCCTCTTTTGTTTTGAGTAGCCTACATGGGAAAAGGATATAGTTCACTCTAACATATTTTTGAGAGTTTAATTACATTTTTTTTTCAGCCTTTCTGACTCTGTGCTTCATTTTATTGCACACTGCCTGGGGTGTAATTTTCTTTGCTGCACTAGACAAGAAGCAGTACATTCCAGTTGCTGGTGTAGTCTTGGCACACATGCTCCTATCATGTTTGGTGAGTTACCTCCCTTTGTACATATTTGGTGGGTTGTCTCTCTTTGTACATATTTGGTGGGTTGTCTCTCTTTGTATATACACGTTTGGTGAGTTACCCCATGTTCTGAGTCATAGGCTGATAAATAGAGCAGGAGCGACCCTCCCCAAACTCTCTCCTATATTTTTGTATTTATCAGTAAGGGTTGAAATGATATCTTCAGCGGAAGTGGGCTAAGTAAAAGTAAAATAAAGTTCCCCTTTCAAACCTAATGGTCCATGGAGCAAATGAGCTCACCTATATATTACGGAATGGCTTGGCCTAGCGATAGAGCTCTATACTTCTAACCCGAAAGTCAGAAGAGTGTCCTGAATCTACTCAACTCTGATGGGTACGTGACTCATATAAGGGAAAATAAAATTAATTAATTAATCCACGTTCCTTATCTGAACTCTAGTCTAGTATGGACATCCCGGTCTCTTAATGTTAGTTTTACTACTTTTTTCTGACTTGTATTTCTGATTTTGTGACCTCTGTAATAAAAGGGAAGATGAAGTCAGTCACATCAAGTTAAAATCATTATGTAACCTGTTTGTTTTAAACATTTTTTTTTCACTTATATGTTAAATTATATGACAAACTGTTTATTTCAGACTTTGCTGAATCAACAGAGCGGTGAACACAACTCTGTTATTTACTTGTCCAACATTGTGCCAGCTTATTTGATTTTAGTCATCTCCATAATAGGCGCCTTCTACTCAGCTGGCGGCTCACTACGCAACATGAAGGCAGCCCTCATTTGTAGAAAAGGGAGGTACCAGATTGATTAAGTTCCAGATTTGTTGCAGTATATTGTCTATGATTGGTCATATATTCCCACCATTTTAGTTTAAAAATTGAAATAGAGGTAAAACCAGAACAAATTAAAAATTAAATTATTATGCATGTTTTAGTTTCTAGTCATGTATGAAATAAAATTTAACACTACTTTTTATTTTGAATCAAAGGATGATAAGCTATGTTTAGGTAAGTTTTGTCTCGGATCAGTCCAAACCTTAAGGTAAAGAACACAGCAAAACTTAGAAACATATTCCATTTGAATGCTGCTCTTTGTATATTAAATGCTATTTGTACTCACTCATTGTTATTTTGCTGCTACCATTTGATAACACAATGTAAATAAAATAATGAATGACTTGTTTTTATATCCCAATCTTGATGTCAATTTGATATGTAAATGAAGTTCTTATTTATGAATTTGTTTTACTTTTTATCAACATTCAAATGAACTTTTTGATATTTTTTTTTCAATGCAAAATATAGCATGGTATTTTACTTTCATTAAATTGCTTTAAAACCTTTATTTAATTTTGTTTTCAATAGTTAATAAGTAGAAAAGCAGTTATTAACAGGTCACTGTTGAATTTATCAAATTTCTTTGTAGGGCAGGTTAAGTATTTGCATTTAGGGTACATTTTTCTTCATTCTAAATGAATATTCAGAATCCATAATAGACTATTGGTTTTGTTATGGTAGATTAAGCAAGATAAGCAACAGCAACAAGTTGTAGAATTTGAATTATGATGTGTAACATTCTATTCAGTCCTATTTTCTATCAGTAGTACTATTTGTAAATGAAACAAATTTACAAAAATCACTGCATTGTGTAGAATATTTCTTTGGAGGAGCAATTGTCTTTTCTGAATCTTAAGCAACATGGCTAAGTTCTATGAAGGCTACATAAAATTGTTTTAAAGTCAAATATTTTAGCCACTTAACATTTTGTTATCAGTAGCCTACAATTAAAGAATTAAGTGCATTTAATGCTAATTCTAGATTTAGTTAATTTTCCTAGTAAATGTAACTTAGCCACTCAACCTATGTACTTTGAAAAGCTACTAGTAATATAGGTGGTTATGCAGTGCATAACTATACAACCACTTTCACTTGAGATTGAATAAAGTCAGAAATACTTTAGAAGTTTCACAACTGTATAGATCAAATAATTTCAAAGATTTGTAGTACAAATAAATTTATTTCACAATAGGTAAAAATTGCAGTTTATAAATACATTGATTTAAAATTAGATTTGTGAATTAAAAGATTTGCAACTTAAATTTGAAATTTAAAATTAACCTAACATACAATAAAAATGTTTATAAACATCCATATTTCACAAAAAGCTCTGCCAAAGTTACATCTTAAGCCTTAATATGTAGACTTAAAACTAAAAACAATTGTAAAATTTGCAACAAAATGTAAAATTAGAGATTCTTAAAAGGATATGATATATAATCTTAAAAAACTTACATTACATGATTATATAGTCATTCTATGCACAATTAAAATAATGTAGATTTAAAATCTCTTTAGACACGCTTTACAGGCTTCTTAACCAGTTTTAACCAACGCCAGCATGATTCTAAACTTTATAAAGCAGTCCTCTCCATGGGTTCTAAGACAACTCCGTTGCCCTCATCAGCAAGATCCAGCACTTTGTTGATGACGCCTAGCTGGGACATGACACTTCTCTTCCCCCAGTTGGACTTTGGCTCCTGTCTGCTTGTCTGGGAGGATAGTGGCGGCAGTGAAGCTGGAGAGATGGAGTCTCTGATTCTGTCAAGTTCATCCCACGTTTTTACATTGCGTAGTCTGTTGATGGAGTCTAGTTCAACCACAGAGGGGGTGATGTGAACTTTGTGTATCCCCATGACCTTTAACTCTGGATGTTCGTATGGACCCTCGTCTTTCACATAAATGCCGTTCTCAAATGCTGAAGATTAAAAACAATTGTCACTGATTAGGTAGAATCTAAATACTAAAATTACAACTTATAGATCATTGATGCAAGGGAAAATTTAATAGCAGTGATTTATAGTTTAATTTTTAAAATTCATTACAGCTTTATATTAAACTATATATAACTTCTATTTTGATAACTGGAGCAGTTTATTTGAAAAAAAATTAAACCTTGCTCCACTTGTGAGAGTTGGCCATTTTCCACCACAGCCAAAATCTTTTCAGAGTACCCATGTCCATAGGCATCCATCGGGTAGGCAGGGCCACCATGTTTTGGGATATCCAGACCTGGAAATTTCAATACCAATGATTACCAATATATACTGCCTGTTATAGTAACTGTTATAATAAACTTTAAAAAAAATTCAGTTTGGCGTTAACAGATAAGCCTATAGCTTGATGACATTGAACGTACATGTTTACTGCAAATAAATTGGAGAGAATGATATAGGCAGACCCACCCTCCAGAATTGTCTGTGAACTTAAAGTTAATTATTTATAAATTATTATAATTATTCAATAGTGACATCAGGTAGGGCTTCATCCAGTGTTGGTGTTGTGAATGAGGGTTTGACCCCCACCTGCTCTAATCATTTCGCATTTTCGTTTTGGTATAAATAAACCCTCTCACTAATTAGTGACTAAACTGACTTTTAAATATTTTAAACTGGTCACCTTTGTACACTATTTAAGCAAAGCTTATAGTAGAGTTGAAGTACCTAGATAAACATTGACCCTACTGTGAATATAATTATTCACCTTTAAAAAAAAATTAGTGAAAAATCTAGATTCTCTAACCCTTGAGCTCCATTTCAGGAGAAACCCTAAAGAGTTTAGTAAGTTTCAGAAAGCCAAACACCAAAAACATCGTTCCAAGTGTCCAGATAAAAAATGTGCACACTCCGGCCAACTGCCATGCCAGCATCTAAAAAATCAGATGCAAGCTATTTAGTACTAAATACAACTTAAGAAAGAAAAACAGGCATTAAAATAATGTCTAAAAAATCTGATAAAATTTAAAGGGAAAGAATGCAATAAAATCAAATTCCTTACACATCCTGAATGCTTGTCCCATGCTACTAAAATACCAGTGGGATATTTGACAAAGGCGACACTTAGAGCACCCCAGGCACCGCCTCCGAAATGGACTGCAATAAAAAAAAAATTAAACCATTTTATGAACTATTCTTTGGCTTTAATAAAAAGCTTGCAGGCGTAATGCATTTATTCCTCAAGGACTAGAAAACTACCAATGCAAGTTCTTTGAAAACAGCGGGGTGTTTACCTCCCACAGCGTTCAAAGGGTCATCGATCTTCATCTTGAGAACAAGAATCTCGATACAGTTCATGATGATGGCGCCAACAAAACCAACGATGACAGCACCCCAGGGTTTCATAGAGTTGCACCCACCACAGATTGCCACCTGAAATTGCAAACATTTGATCAACAATTTTGTTGACTCAAATTTGAATACAATTTTAGACGGGCAATAAATAGTTACCATGCCAACGAAAGCTCCGTTGATGACACTATGCACGCTCCAGTGGTGACCAAATAGACCCATCCTTAAAATTTTAAATAGAATCTATATTTAATCAAGAATTTGGATGAAAATGTACTTAATTTAAAAAAAAAACTTTAAGCAGAAAGCCAATATTAAATAAAAAAAAGTTAAAATACGATTCACTACCTGTGGGCAAACATGGAGGTGAAGGCTCCCATACTGGAGGAGATGGCAGTGTTGAAAGCGGCCATGCTGATGGCGGCACCATCTCCTGGTTCAGTTATGTGACCTTGGGAGGCAGCGTTGAAGGCCATGAACCCAAACACAAGCACGAAGGCACCAATGCCAGCAAGCTGTCAAGAGGTATTGAAGATTATAATAGTCCAACTACACCTTAAGTACAGTGTTTCTTCCAGACTTTTTTCTCTGGGGGGGGGGGCACTTGAAATCTTCGGGGGGGGGGGGGGGCGGTAAACTTTCTTCGGGGGGGGGGGGCGGACACTGTTAAAAATATATATTTTCTATATAAAATATATAAATTTCATTTCGTTCGGGGGGGGGGGGGGGGCGGTAAAAATTTTTCGGGGGGGGCTTTGCCCCCCCGAAAAGATGCCTGGAAGAAACTCTGCTTAAGTAAAAGAGTAAACTTGCACATAGAAGAGTCTATACATACTGGAACTGAATGTCCTCTGATTGGAATAACGGCTCCAGTCTCTTTATGGAATCTTCCAATACGTGGACCAAGTAACCAGGCACCAACAAATGCCGTAGTTCCACCCACAAGATGGACAACACCGCTACCACCAAAATCCTGGGTAAACATTTAAAGATAAAACTGAAAAAATTCACAAAATTCATACTTAATGGATACTAAATCTGAAGCCTTAAAGTCGTGGATATGGAAAGATTGAAAGACAATTTGAAGGAGTAAACCAATGGTGACCGAGTAACTGTTATAGGATGCATAAATTATCTCCCTAGTAAACCTACCTCGTATTTGACATGCATGATTTTGCCATCAATGTCGAAATCATGTCCAATGTGAAGGAAGCCGTACTGTGACCATCCCCAACGACTACACAATGGGTAGACAAAAGCTGAAATAAAAAGTTCATTTGTTTTTCTTATTGGCAACACAAATCAGTTTTACAAATGAAGACAAGCCCAAATAAACTAAATATAAACATGTAGACTAAGTACTTGTTTTGATCCAACAGCAGGACTAGTTTTATCAAGGTTCTGCTTTATACATGGTAAACATACAAAAGTCATTCAGCAATTTACTCCGTTGACTTTACATTCCAAAGCTATAGTCAGTAGATATCTTACAGAGAACGGACTCTGCCCTTTAAAAAATCTCTTGAGTATTTATCCGAAACAAACTCACCGGTTAGGCAGAAGCTGTAAATCAAGTAAGAAATGTGAGTTACAATATCTTACCAGTCAAAACGAAGCTGTAAATCAAGTAAGCGACAAATTCACATCTCTCAGCCAAAGCCCCAGACACAATGGTGCAGGAGGTTGAAGCGAACATAAGCTGGTAGAAGTAGTTGGACATTTTCTCATTGGGCACGTAGGACGACGCAAAGTCAAACCAGCCAATGAATCCGTTGCCGTAACCGTAAGCAAATGCCCAGCCGATAGCCCAGTAGGATATGCCTGCAACGACTAATAAAAATCACTTAAAGTTAGTATATTTATGACAATGTGCCAATGTAACGATAAAATGGACTAGTACACTAAATAGTATAAACTGAAATAGTTTAAAGCGTTCACAGATGAGACTTATAATATACATGTCTAGAAAAACATTAAGTTTTGGTTACGTGAAAACATTTTCCCCACGGAACGTGTTTTTGCGAAGTTTTCCTATACATATATACTTGTCATACATGTAAACGTGGTGTTCGGATTGACTACCATCTGTAGAAAAAAGCTTATGGGTGGGGGCAATCATGCTACGTTTTTTGCAATGTGAAACGGTATTAGCTCTAAACTATTTGCCTACTTACAGCCATCCAAGTAGTTCTTGAGGATAATGTTTTGGGTGTTCTTGGCTCTGACACTGCCGGCTTCGATAAAAGCAAAGCCCATGGTCAACACTGGAAGAAATGAGTTTAAATGTTTGAAATTTCATTAAAAAATAACTTCGAGAAAATGGGAAGTACAATCATTCTTTAATTCAAACATGAAATAGATAATATCTTAACAGTGGCTGAAATTTATGTGTACAAGATAAACTTACAGAGAATCATGATACTAAAGACTATCTGGTAGAACTGGTCTATGTTGAGAGTCAGGGCGTCGAAGCGGAAGTTGAGCTCAGCTAGACTCCTCATTGTAGATTCTGATACGTTGTCCGTAAAATAGCCGGATGACGTGGTCGAAATATTTGGCGCCGTAGAAAAAAGACTGGGTGCCAGGGTAGTGCTTTGTGCTCCGGAAGTGTAGCTTGGTGCCACTGTAGAAGCGCTAGGTGCCCCGGATGTGAAGCCTGCCGTTGAGGTGGAGTAGCTGGGTGCCCATGTTAAGCTAGCAGACGGCAAAGTTGAATCGCTGGACGACACTGTAGGATTGCCAGGCGTCGTGAAATTGCTGGGGTCCAAGCCACTGAACACAGCTGTTAAATTACTGACCACCCAGGTAGAGTTGATGAGCAGTCCAGTCATGTTGCTGAAGGCCATCGTGCAGACCTTGATCTGATATTTTAAATAAAAGACTTAAGTTCTAAACTACAGAATATGTTTTGTACTATAGGAAAAAATACATTAGTTCAGAACTATAAATATTCTTTGTAAAACAACGACCAAGTTCTCAACTACAGAGGGATGTCGACGCGGTCAGATCGGTTAAGCTCATGGTTGCTTAACCGAATAATCGATTTCGAAACCCCGGTTCGATAGAAGCAGAGTTTCTACCGCCCCCCCCCCCCCCGAACGAAATGAAATATATAGAAAATATATACGTTTGACAGTGTCCGCCCCCCCCCCCCCCCGGAAAGTGTTGTCCGCCCCCGAAATTTTAAATTGCACCCCCGGAGAAAAGTCTGGAAGAAACACGGGATAGAAGAGCCAACTCTAAAATCAAGTAACTGATGTAGTTTGTTATTGGTTGAACAATGGCTATGAAAGAAAAAAAAAACAGGCTCAAATCGGAGTTAACGGCCAATATGTCGCATAACAAGTTGACACGCAACAGTTAACTGTGTTGGAGGGAATCTCTTCCAACACTAGAATTAAGGACGAACATGAAAGTATAGACATGAAGTAGAAATCTGCGAGGGCAATGAAGATAGTAGCATCAATGCATGGATTATCTAATGCGATTCTGTACAATTTAATAAGGAAATGTGACCACAACACTAGTTTCCTACAGGTGTTGCATAATGTCCTAAATAATATTGTACATGACAGATCGCCAGCAGAAGCTCTACTTTCTGTATTCAGAATACACCCCAGGTTTTAACTAACGCAGAAATCTAGCTATAAGTACACACAAAATTTACTGAACAAACGATAACTTTCAGACTTTTATTACTCTGGTTAACTTACAAGTTGACATTTGGTCAGTACATTTGTTTGTGATTAAAGCACTTGGGTGCTCAGAGCAATTTTTAATTTTAGTCTTTTTAAAAAAAACAAACAACCTCTGCAATAAGGGTGTTGCTTTACTGGTAGTAAAGCAAAATATGACTTGCTAATGTCAATATTAACCCTACGCCAAGCCTAGTCCTACCATACGCCAAACCCTCAATTTCTAACCATAAAACTAGACGAGATTACAATACTACTAACAACCCAACACACCTATTTTCGGACATCGATATCCTTAATCATCCCAATAATGCAATAAAAACTTTTAACTTACCTTGTATTACACTCTGATTACAAATATCAAAATGTAATTAGTTTATTAATTGTCTGAATGAATTCAAACAGAAAGGAATGGCTCCAAAACTCCAAAAGACCAAGGAATGCTTGGAACCTTTTAAGTCATCAATGATCGAGTCATATCTGTTTGTACTGATCAAAGTCAAAGTCCGCATAAAAATATCTCTGCTGAAGACACGTGGTAGAAACTGGTCCAGTAGCGGACAAATCCAGGTAGAGAAATGGCTGGCTGAAGACCTTCCCAGGTGCGCGGGTGTCTCGAGAATAGCCTAAGTAAATCGGATAGAGCGTTTATATACTGATGGCGTTTTTTTTTTAGTTGAGGGGGGTCAGTATGACACTGGGTCTACACACTTAGTAAAATGTGTGTTTGGGTAGGGGGGTGTGGGTGGGGGGGTGTTAACACACTTGTCTTACTTTCTTTTCGCCTCTGGTTGTTTAAGTTCAGTGAGCGCTCCATTAAAAACGTGCAAAGTGAAACTATGATAAAAACAAAAATACTTGAAGTACGTCATTCCCCTCCCTCCCCCCCTCCATCTCTCTCGAGATCGGACAGTCAAGGCTCAAATAATAGAAAAACCAGTTTCAACCGATTGAATTGCGTGGTTTCGTTATTGTGTACCGTTCACCTCACCCCCCCCCCCCCCCCACCCCCATTATTTACACCCTGTCCAGTAGGAAGGTCGACTTCGCAAGTCAGTCATGCGTGACCGGGCCACTGAAAACAATTGTGACACGGTTTAAATGGCCTACCGTTTGACACAACTGCGAGGAGACGGACGGTGGGAAGCGGGCGGGGGGGGGGGGGGGGGGGGGCGAGTAGGTGTCCCCCTCCCCCGGTCATTTTTTTTACTGATGGCTAAGTCTACTCAAGCGTGACGGTACAGTTTCCCCGCACCTTGAATATTGGCCTTTTTTGACATTTTCTTTTTGAAAACGTACAAGGGGGGGGGGGTGTCAAAGCACTCATCCCCCACTCCCCTTCCCATCGACGTTAAGTGTGAATGTTCAGCCTTGAATGACGTCATGAGCTACACACTCAACATGTGCTCTGAGGTGACCAATACACACACGGGCTGGTCACTAGTAATGGTTCTTCTAATAGACCATAAAGAAGGATAAATGGCAATTATCATATTTATGAGGAATAGCCATTAGCCTATAAACGAGAACTGGTTGTTATAATTTAAACTAAGAAGAATCCATCAGTTAACTATCAAACGTATATAACCAAGGACTGACCATTAGACTATAATCAAGGATTGACCATTAGACTATAATCAAGGACTGACCATTAGACTATAATCAAGGATTGACCATTAGACTATAATCAAGGACTGACCATTAGACTATAATCAAGGATTGACCATTAGACTATAATCAAGGACTGACCATTAGACTATAATCAAGGATTGACCATTAGACTATAATCAAGGACTGACCATTAGACTATAACAAAGAGCTGAACATTAGACTATAACCAAGGACTGACCATTAGACTATAACAAAGAACTGACCATTGGATTATAACAAAGAGCTGAACATTAGACTAACACATGATAGGTGGGAGGGGACGATGGACGTGCTCCGCATAGCTCCCGACCCCACAATAGGGAAAAGATGCCCTAAAGAAACTGGTGTATAAGTGTATAGAATGTATGAATTACTCTACAGCCCTTGTGTTCAATGATTGAAATCGAAATGCTGGTTTGCTCAGATAATCTATATATATAATTCTCTTCTGGGAGCCGTTAGAAAACAAGCTGCAAGCGCCTCCTTGCAGTCCCCTCTCTTTCTCTCTATCACTATCACTACCACCCCCACCCCACCCCCACATTGTCTGGTGAGTTGTGGTCACGCTAAATGTTTACAAAGCTAAATGTTTACAAATCGTAGAGCTGTAGAGCCGAGTTTCTATTAGGGGCAGATAATTTAGTTAGATTTTAAACTTACAGGAGGTAACTAAGAAATAACTAAGAGGAGGCTGCTTTCACGGGGGGGGGGGGGGGGGGGGGGGTAGGGTCGGGGTTAGTGGAAGGGGGGGGGTTAGTGTTTTAAAGCAAATATTTTCAGTGGCAGCATTGGTACTGTTGAATTCACAAATTATGAATTACTGAAAAGTAGAAAATAAAACAACTAAATAGCGGCGTATGATACGCTGCGGGTCGGCTCGTTACATAATAAAAGCAAATTGTAATTATAAACAATTCCAATGTAGGCCTCTCTGTCAATTTATTTTTCATTTCTTCTCTGGCTAAGCTATAAAGACTTCAAAGTCAAGTAAAGTATAAACTGTAAGTAAAATTTACAAAGTATTTTTTCCAAATAAATATAACTTGGAACAGTTTTCCATGAACAAATTATTCATACTAATGAACGTATCTGATCTAATTTATAACCCAACGCCTGCATTCCGGGGAGAAAGTTCGTGTGCAACGTGTATTTTGTGTGCGCGGTTTTCTAAAAGTCTTATGCGTTTTTTATAAAATGACTGCGCGGCAGTTGAAAATGACTGCGCGGCCTCGCATATTAGAGTGGACATAGCCCCTCCTCTCCTTTAAAAGGGATGAACTACTCAGTGCAGAGAGTCAAAGTCTGAGCTAGTTTTATAGATTTTAAGTATTTAAAGACGACACACTCATCTTGGCCCACGTTGTCCGTGTTTAAAAAAATAACCCAGGAATCATTTTAATTAAAAATTCTATCGAATTAAATTCTATTAGTTACTATGTAGCCTAATAATTGCTAGCTTCGGGTTAATTTTTAGAGTGACAGACGATGTCTCTAGACCACAATTGATTATCTTTTCCATTTTGTGCTCAAGACACCTTGGGGCGGTCACAGAAAGCCCCTTTTCAATATACCGGAATTTTATTTTTATCAGCTTATAACTGCACCCGCCATAGTTTGGAGAACTCCCCTTACAGAAGTTTGATACAAATGGCTTTTTGCTTTAGTTTCTTTAGCTTGTTTTTAAAATAATAAAGGCTGCTGGTGTTAACACCCAAATCTTGACGGATTCTAGCAAATCTTTCCAGCTTGGTTAAACCTGAAAGTTTCCATCCTCGCTGGTATAGCGGGGGAGGGAGGGAAAGGGGAGTCGCCATTGAACAAATACCCGTAGAATTAGCAGAGTGTAACGTTGCTGAGTAATCGACAACAGCCATACAAATTGACAAGAAATATAAAAAAAAAATAAAAAAAAAACCCAAGTAGTTCATAAATGTTTTATTTATACAATTTTAAAATGCAGTAGGTATATAAAAAAAATTCTGAATATAAATTGCATTGTAGTCACCTGGTTATAAGAATTTGAGAGTCAAGTTAAAAAAATTCTTCAACACAACAAATGTTCAAGATAATTTCAGCATGTATACCGAAATAACAGTAAAATGTAAATATTTTAATCTAAAAAATAAAACTTAGCCCTTGTTAAAATTAGCATTGTAATTTCTAAAAGTATAAAACCGTAAATAAAAATTGAGATCTTCAAAATTGTATACAGTTAAAAATTTACAGGAAAATTTAACCAGCTTAAATTTTAACATGATTAAGTTTACAAAGCTGTCCTTTCCATGTGTTCCAGACCTATGGTATTCCCAGGCTCGTCTGCGAGATCTAAACCTTTGTTGCTGATGCCAAGTTTAGACAGGACATGTCCTGGTCCCCACTTTGACTTCTCGCTTGCGTGCTTGCCCGTGTGCTTGCTCGTGTGAGAGGACTGCGGTAATGAAGCAGGCGAGATGGATTCGCGGATTCTGTCTAGTTCCTCCCAGGACTTCACTTCTCGTAGTCTGTTGATAGAGTCCAGCTCTATCATGGAGGGGGTGGTGAGGACGTTGTGTATGCCCATGACCTTGAGCTCGGGGTGCTCGTAAGGTCCTTCGTCTTTCACGTAGACGCCGCTTTCAAAACCTGCGAGGACGAGCGAGAAGTTATCAAGTTAACATGAAATAAATACGTCAAACTTAGCACTACCATATAAAAATTAACTGCGATTTTGACAAGAATCACAAAAATGTACAAAAAATTTGCAAGTATTATCTAGAACTATTTAATAGAATTAGTGCTAGGGAAAATTTAGAACGATTGGTAGCTGGTAAAATAACTGAAAAAAATCTAAGTGGACCAATACTAAAATGACAGTATTCTCATTTTAGACAACAGAAATAAAGCTAAAAATACCTTGATCCAACTGAGAGAGCTGACCATTTTCAACAATTGTCAGAATCTTCTCGAAGTATCCGTGTCCGTAAGCGTCCAATGGGTAGGCGGGGCCTCCATGTTTGGGCACGTCCAGACCTGGAAAAAATATTTAGCAATATAAAAAATGTATACACAATATTTGTTAGGTAGATGCACAATATTCCCTCTTAGCTGCGCAGTAGTTTTGAGCTGCCGTGCAGTGATTTTGTAAAAATAAATCCTTATATAAGACTTCTAGAACAGCGCGCACAGAAAATACATTTTACACTAGCTTTTCTTCCTTAGAGGGAACATTGGTGATGCATGGTTTATACATTGTTAGGTTAATTGAACTTAGTGATTCAGATTTTAAAAAGCCAGTACTTAATGATATCAGGACATTTACCTTTAAGTTCCATCTCAGGAGTGACCCTAAAGATTCCTGCTAATCTGAGACAGCCAAACACGATGGTCATCGTTCCAAGTGTCCAGATAAAAAAGGTGCACACTCCAGCCAATTGCCAGGCCAGCATCTAAAAAAGTTTAATGAAAGAAATTAAGCATTAAACGACATAAAATAGGAAGAATAGCTATGGGCAAATTGAAACCTAAAGTTTCTATTGATGAATCTAAAAAAAAAAGGTAAAACAACTCAAAAATACAAGGGAAATAACTTACGGCTCCTGAGTGCTTGTCCCATGCTACTAAAATACCAGTGGGATATTTGACAAAGGCGACACTTATGGCACCCCAGGCACCGCCTCCAAAATGGACTGGTACAATAAAAGAATAGTAGAAAATTTAAATGCTTGGCAATTAATTTATAATACTAGTGTTAATAGGTTTCTTGGAAAATATTGAAATTCTTGAACGGTTTTAAGTTTACCTCCAACAGCGTTCAAAGGGTCATCGATTTTCAACTTCAGAACAAGAATCTCGATACAGTTCATGATGATGGCGCCAACAAAACCAACGATGACAGCACCCCAGGGTTTCATAGAGTTACACCCACCACAGATTGCCACCTGGAATTTGAATGCTATCGTTATTATATACTATAAGATTTGAGTATAAACACAAAGGATAATTTGATAATGTTTAAAATTTAGTTACCATGCCAACGAAAGCTCCATTGATGACGCTATGCACGCTCCAGTGATGACCAAATAGACCCATCCTAAAAAAGTTTAAACATGGTTTATATTGCAAAAGTGAGTGTTTAGAATTTATACATAAATTAAAGATTAAGGTGGTTTAAAGCCAGGTATATTTAAAGACACGATTCATTACCTGTGTGCAAACATGGAGGTGAAGGCTCCCATACTGGAGGAGATGGCAGTGTTGAAAGCAGCCATGCTGATGGCGGCACCATCTCCTGGTTCAGTTATGTGACCTTGGGAGGCAGCGTTGAAGGCCATGAACCCAAACACAAGGACGAAGGCACCAATGCCAGCAAGCTGTAGATACATTTTTGTAGATTTAAATTGTTTAACTCAACGTTTAAGTTAAAAGGTAAACTTACAAACAAAAGTCTATACATACTGGAACTGAATGTCCTCTGATGGGAATAACGGCTCCAGTCTCTTTATGGAATCTTCCAATACGTGGACCAAGTAACCAGGCACCAACAAAGGCCGTAGTTCCCCCCACAAGATGGACAACACCGCTACCACCAAAATCCTAGGTAAACATTTAAAGATAAAACTGAATGTAAAATTTTACATAATTCCTAATTGACCAATACTAAAGCTTAAGTTTTAAAGTAGTGGATTTGAAAAGATTGCAAGTCAATGTGAAGGAGTAAACAATTGTGAACGAATAACTATTTTTGGGGTTATAGGATGCATAAATTATTTCCCTAGTAAACCTACCTCGTATTTGACATGCATGATTTTGCCATCAATGTCGAAATCATGTCCAATGTGAAGGAAGCCGTACTGTGACCATCCCCAGCGACTACACAATGGGTACACAAAAGCTGGAAAAAAAACGGCAGTTACATTAAAAGCTTCTCTACTACTAAAAAGTGAATGGTTATAAAATGCGAGCTACTATCTATCTCTTACCAGTCAGAACGAAACTGTAAATCAAGTACGCGACAAATTCACATCTTTCAGCCAAAGCCCCTGACACAATGGTGCAGGAGGTTGAAGCAAACATGAGCTGGTAGAAGTAGTTGGACATTTTCTCATTGGGCACGTAGGACGACGCAAAGTCAAACCAGCCAATGAATCCGTTGCCGTAGCCGTAAGCAAATGCCCAGCCGATAGCCCAGTAGGATATGCCTGCCACGACTGAAGGAAAACATCTCACATTAACCTCTGAACAACAGGACTCAAAAATTTATCAGTTATTGAGCCGTGAACAATAGGAGACTCCCATACATCTCTGCACCCTTAATAGCTGTGTCGTAACTATTTTTTTTTAGATAGGCGTGAACCTTTCAGTGTTTAAAAATACTGTAGCGGGATAGCCCAAAAATTTCAAAGGTTATTTTAAATTGCCGGCAAAGACAACATTTGTATGACAGAAGTATTCAATTCATAGCTGCAAATTAAAAATTGATACAGAGTTTAAATTTGTTAAACTTTTCAAGCTTTGCTTATTCTTAGGCCCTTGTGACAATTGGCCTACTTTCCTACTGTTATTACCGTTATTACATTTAAACTCATAAATAACATTTGAACAACTTTTACATTACTAATCGATCAACTGTTTTACACTTACAGCCGTCCAGGTAGTTCTTGAGGATTATGTTTTGGGTGTTTTTGGCTCTAACACTGCCGGCTTCGATAAAAGCAAAGCCCATGGTCAACACTGGAAGAAAGAGTTAAAACCATTACAATTTTTTTCCCAAAACATTTAAAGGAATTCTTCAACTATAGTAATAACGTTAAAAAGGAAAAGATTTTCATATTTGAAAAATCGTTAGGCCTACAATTTATTTTACTTTTAGAGCATCGAAATCAGATCTAAAATTAAAGAAAACAAACTTACAGAGAATCATGATACTAAAGACTATCTGGTAGAACTGGTCTATGTTGAGAGTCAGTGCGTCGAAGCGGAAGTTGAGCTCAGCCAGACTCCTCTGGGTAGTCATAAACTCCGTGACGTTTGTGAAATTGTCGGTGGTCATTTTAGCTCTAAAAAATTTAAATAGCCATTAATATAATTATATATCTATACATTATCTATTCATGTTTCTACGAGGGTCTATGTAGCAAGGACTGAATGTTCTAGTACTTGTTGGCAATTTTTGTTAAATCATCAGGCTGATTAAAATCTTATAATTGCCGAAGTAAAATTCTACAAATTGCGCAAAGCAAGCTAATACTGCAATATTTCCATTAGCCCAACTAACATTTTAACTACAAAAGTTAAATTTAAGCTGTAAAACGGCTAAATTTATAAACCTTATAACAGTATTAAAATAAATACGTATCAGCGATGAGTTTCCTATTGAAAATATACCGTTTATCGCAACGATTATAAAAATGTGAACCTACCTTGTATTGCACTCTTGAATATAAATACAATTAATTAATATATCGTCTTTGATTACTCAAACAGAAAGGAATGGCTCCAAAACTCCAAAAGACCAAGGAATGCTTGGAACCTTTTAAGTCATCAATGATTGAGTCATATCTGTTTGTACTGGTCAAAATCAAAGTCCGCATAAAAATATCTCCGCTGAAGACACGTGGTAGAAACAGTGGTCCAGTAGCGGACAGATCCAGGTAGAGAAATGGTTGGCTGAAGACCTTCACAGGTGCGCGGGTGTTGTGGGTGAATAGTGGGCAACTGAACACAATTCGAGGGTTTATATACGGTGGCTGTCTCCACCCCCGCCCCCCCCCCCCCCCCCACGGGCTTGGTGTGTTGTTTGAGCTGAGTGGACGGTTTTTTTGAAAACACGCAGGGTGGGGATGTGTGGGGGGTGGGGTTGGTGTGAAAGGGAGTGGGTTTAGAGGGGGGGGGAATGTAAAAATTTGTAAGTAGGCCTACTCTCCTCACCACCCCCAGATTATGATGTAAAACAGGTCATGGGTTTTCGACTGATGAGGATGGAAATCTTTTGTTTGGGGGGGGGGGTGTGAAAGGGGAGGGGGTAGGGCGTATAGTCGGTGACCGACAATACATTTATGAAAATAGATGTGTAGTTGTAATCAGATTACTAATACGGTAGAAAATTGGGGTTAAGACTATAGTAAGACTTATCTTAAGGTTAGCATTAGCAAGGAATATTTTTTTTTCAGTTTACTACCAATAACCTAACACACTTTTTAAAAGAAGATTCAATTGTTTTCACACTATCGGATACTTACGCATTAAAAGAAAGCCCAATTTTCGTTTGTTTATTATATGAGGATAAAATTAACCACATTGTTTAGGCTTTTTGTTTTTTATTTAAAAATATGTTTCTTCTTCATCTTCGCCCCCCCTCTAAATGGAGCATAGTCCATTTACAACATTCTTCCATAGTTTTATGTTAATTGTTGATTATTTTAACCTCTTTCCAATTATGTTCCTTTTTCAATTTCTCTACGCCACGTATATAGGTGTAGAAAGCTAATTTTGTTTCTTATAAATATGAATCACGAATAATTTCCTTCGAATTTTCATTAAAATAAAATAAAAACTAAAAAAAAAACAACAACAGAAAATCATTTTAAAAACACGATTTTAGAAATATTTAAATTTAAACATGTCTTTCATCAACTACATCAGCGTGATGACCTTGACCTTCGCTCAGTCCAGCCGCTCCGTGTTTGTTACGTGTGTGGTTTTGTTGACCCCATTCACAGGGATCAATGGGAGTCGTAGTTACAAGGCTAAACCCAGTCAAGCGTGGCATGACCGTTGGAGATGGAGAGGGGGGGGGGGGGGGCATTGGTGACACTGTTTATTGTCCCCAGCGCTGACTCTGTAGGGAGGGGTGCGGCTAGGTGGGCTGTGGCTGAGGTATATTGGGGGGGGGGGGTTGGGGGGGGCGGGGTGGGGTTGGGATTTTTATTTAGGATTGTTAAAACTGCTCAAGCGAGACGAAACGTTGAGTTGGATTTTTAAATGCTGACCATTAGGAAATCTGAACTCCTGGTCAATAGTCCACACCCTCCCCCCTCTCTTTAACTCCCATATAGCAAAGTCCAACGATTTATTGAGGTGATTACTTATAAGATGTCGGGTTTTTCATTTTTTATACAGGAGAAGGGGGGAGCACTTGAATCTTCTGCAAGGGAGAGTGAGGGGGGTGGGTGGAATTAGTAAAAGTATACATTTTCTATATATATTTTAATTAAAAAAAATACTTTTTGTCCAAGAGCGGGGACGGTGGACCTGCACCTGAGACAGTGTGTGTTGGGGGGGGGGGGGGCACAGCTGTTTGATCTGATTAGTCTTTGAAAGCAGCTAGAGTGTTGTATACTTGTCTAGCTTTCCGTGGAGGTTCACAGCTTGTGTTTTAGCACACGCCTGGGGATTTTTCTAAAAGATACCAGACTCGTCGAAAATGACCTAGGGCGATTCGCTCGGCACTTATGGTCCATTAGGCGGTTGAGTTTACATAGCTCGGTGACCTCGGCATATGGTCAGCGTTTTGTCCAGCCGCCTTTAGTTTCCTTATCGTAAGTAAGGTACTCATCAGAGTTGGGTACTCACGGACGTCCCATGGACTCGAGTCGGGCTCCAAGCTCGAGACTTTCAGGTTAGTGGTCATACGCTCTATCGTTCGACCACACATTCCCTTAATTTGATCTGCACAATATTATAAAAGTTCTTAAATGTTTTCTCCCCTGTTCTCTTTCTCTTTTTTTTTTTTTTTTTTTTTGCTTGCAGGTTCTATAGCATCGTTTTCTTGTTTCTTAGCACTTAGCAACACCTCTCCCATGAACATTATATTGTATTAGTTTAGTAGAAAATAAATCGCTTTTCCCCCATGGTATCACCCAGTAAATGGCGTCAGCATGTTCTACAGGGGGTCATTTAAAGTAGACCATAAAGGGGTCACTTAAGGGGGGGGGGGTCATAAAAGTAGGCTATAAAGGAGGTTATTTGAAGGATCACACAGAGGTTTATAAAGCGAGTCAATGAGATACAGCTCATGATGATGGCGGCAAAAAGGGTGAATGAGGGGAGAGGGGGAACAGGGGTAGCTACTTGGCTACTGTCCTTGAGGGAATCTACATGGGGTAGAATGGTGGATGAAGAGAAGGCGGTCGTTGATGGCAGTTTGATTACGAATTACTTGCAGACATTCTTTCAGGCATCTCTTCGGGTGGGGGTGGGGGGGGGGTCTCCAGAAAGTCTACCTCCCGCCCGAACGAAATGGAGTTTAATAAAAAAAATACATATACATTTACCAGTGTCCCCGTCCCCCCGGAGAAAAAACGTCTAGAAGAAATACTGATTATTTGACTTAATCCTCTTTACTCCTTGAGGAGCCTAGGGCCTCAACCATAACCTTCCATTTTGTCCGGTTCCCGATTGTTAATTTTGCAGCCTCCTAAGACATCCCGGCTGTCTTCAAAAAGACTCCATCTCTAGGTCTGTCTTGTGCGCCCTCTCCTTTCACCTTCCCCGAGGGTTCCACTCAAGCGCCTAGTTATACTTACCCTTAATTCTGCTTAGATCTCAAAAGTTGTGTCCCATTGCTTTGAACTGTGACATCAGTATAAAACCTCTCGTCCCCTAACAAAGTATTTGGAAAAAGTTCCAACCATATTTACTAATCACTTCTACGAATACATCTTGTATCCATACATAAGACCGATATTGCCAATAACATCTAACTACGCCAACTCAGCTAGACCAAAACTTGCCGAAACGTATTGACAGAAGTAAGCGTACATATTAAAAAAATTTGGTTACATTAAATTGTACATTAAGTTAGCACCTGGCATTGTCCATGATTTATTTGGCCTGATTGACATGGACCATGATTGACTTGGCTATGCTTGACAATGATTGAATTAGCCATGATTGATTTAGCAATGATTGATTTGGACATGATTGACTTGGTCATGCTTGACAATGATTGACTTAGCCATGATTGACTTAGCAATGATTGACTTGGCCATGATTGACTTGACCATGACTGACTTGACCATTGTCGAATTGGCCATAATTTACTTGGCCATGACTGACTTGGCCATGCTTGACTTGGTCATGCTTGACTTGGCCATGGTTAACTTGGCCATGATTGACTTAGCCATGATTAACTAGGCCATCATTGACCGTGCTGTCATTGACTAGAACGTGGTTGACCATGACTGAGTTGGCCATGATTGACTTGGCCATGTTGTACTTGGCCATGATTAACTTGGCCATGCTTAACTTGGCCATGTTGTAGTCATGCTACCAGATAAAATTAACTAGAACTATCACAGTATTGAAACCCCAAAACGGTCAACATAACAATATAAACACGGATACAAGTACATTTCTTTTATTAGTATGCAAATGTAAAGCAGTGAAAACGTAGGAAACAAATGCCAAATAATAAATGCAGCGTGTTATTAAAACCTGATTATAGATGTGATTAACTAGGAAACAATTATAGCCGTGAATATCAACGAGAATAGATACTATTCAATTCACTCTTACACCTGCTATACCACCACTGTAGGGGCATGCAAGGCTTCAATTGCAGCGAAACACGGCCCAACAGTGGCGTCACTAGGTAGGGTGTTACGTGGTGCGGTAACCGGGGGCGTCACCCCACCCTACAAAAATTTATATATTTTGATCGTTTTGGTGTCATCCAACTACTATTTTATTATTTTAAATGGATAAAAACATTCTTTGTAAAAAAAATTATGATTTTTTTTTTCGATTTGGTGTCACCCTTAAATGGTGCCACCCGGTGCGAACCACCCCCCGACCCCACCTTGTGACGCTCCTGTTGCACAATAATTACAACAAAAATACTTGGAACATTAAATGCTATTGGCTCTCATAAAAAACAACTACACCTGACGTATATAGGTAGAGAAACACCAATACTTGCGAATGTTTTTTTTAAACAACGTTACCATCTTACCACTAAAGAAAATCACCATTAAATGCTAGTGGTTTAATTTACACACCTTTGCTACTTATACAAAATAAAATGCAATTCTTTGTACTTTAAATATAAAAAATTGTAACATTGTTAAAAACAATAAACATTTAAAGAAAAAAATAAATGAAATCTTATATATAATTTGTATATATGTATGTATATACACCATGAGTGCCGATTAATAAGGCCTCCTTTGAGATCACTATTGGTAATTTAAAAAAAAAAACAACTAACACGGATTAGGGGATACATTACTCAAAGTTGTTTTTTCACGAGTGTAAATTAGTTACTAAGCATGGACTTAGTTCATTTATCATGCTCTCGTATAGTGTTAATACAAGAGTGGGCGGAGTCATTAATACGTATCTTTTAACCCATGCAGCTGTTCATTTGCGTGCTTTAAAAAAAAATCATCATTCTATCTAAGAAGTAAAAGCTTGTATGCCCCCCCCCCCCCTCGCTACGCCTCTGGTTGAAATGAGGAGCTACTATATCTCTTTAATGATTCTCGCTAAAGGATCTCATGATGTACATATATATTTAAAAAATCCAACCAAACAAACATGGTAATCTCGTAATCACAGTGATGTGTACTTTCAACAATAGAACATTGAAAAAAAAAATTCGAACTCGCGGCTTTAACTTTTTTTTAACGCGCTACAGCGCTGTCCTCTCCATATGCTCCAAACGCACCCCGCTGTTAGGCTCCCCGTGGAGATCCAGCCCCTTGTTGACGTACCCGTGCTCGGAGAGGATACGCCCCGGGCCCCAGTTAAACTTGGGGTCCGCCTTGGTGGTGGGTGATGAGGGTGACAGCGACGCCGATGAGATGGATCGTTTGATTTTCTCGAGTTGCTCCGGGTTTTTGACCGATTTGAGCTTGTTGATGGAGTCCAGTTCGATCATGGAAGGGACCCTGTTCACGTGGTGTATGCCCATGACCTTGACCTCTGGGTGCTCGTAAGGACCTTCGTCTTTGACGTAGATGCCGCTGTCGTATCCTGTGGGACAATGTCCGAGAGGTGCGTTTAGTTAGGGGAAGGGGTGTAACGTATTTAGCACATGATGGTAAAAGGGTAGATGGAAGGACAGATGGATGATATAGTAGATGGAGGGACAGATGGATGATATAGTAGATGGAGGGACAGAGGTATGATATAGTAGATGGAGGGACAGATGGATGATATAGTAGATGGAGGGACAGAGGTATGATATAGTAGATGGAGGGACAGATGGATGATATAGTAGATGGAGGGACAGATGGATGATATAGTAGATGGAGGGACAGAGGTATGATATAGTAGATGGAGGGACAGATGGATGATATAGTAGATGGAGGGACAGATGGATGATATAGTAGATGAAGGGATAGTGGGATATGATAGATGAAGGGATAGTGGGATATGGTAGATGAAGGGATAGTGGGATATAGTAGATGAAAGAATAGAGGGATGATAGGGTAGATGAAGGGATAGAGGGATGGTAGGGTAGATGAAGGGATAGAGGGATAATTGGATAGATGAAGTGATAGTGGGGAAAAAAGTTAGATGAAGGGATAGTGGGATAATAGGGTAGATGAAGGGATAGAGGAATGAATTTTATGACAAGCCGCATTGAATTAGTAGCCATAATCTCTCCCACTTTGACCCCTTCACGATCCGTTTAAAAACGCACGATCATACAGACTTATAGAGTAATGACAACTGTGCACAAAATAAATCTTGCACAGGTGAGCAGTACAATACCTTGATCCACCTGAGACAGTTGACCGTTTTCAACCACGGCCAGAATCTTCTCGAAGTACCCGTGTCCGTAGGCTTCCAGTGGGTAGGCGGGCTCTCCGTGCTTGGGGATGTCCAGACCTGGGGAGAATATATGGCATCAGTACAGGAAGTGACGTCTCGTCTCGTTGATTATATTTTTCTGATGTCCTTATATTCACTTTGGCGGATCTAGGGGGTGCATAGCCCCCCCCCCTTCCTAGCTAATAAAAGTATCCTTTCGAACCTTATGGACAATGGGACAGGGGAAGTAAAGTTAACCTTTTTTTATTGACTTTGGCATTAGAAGGGATAGTGAGTCAGATACCCAATAGAGCTGGGTAAACTCAGGGAAGAAATCGTGTGGAATTGAGCCCGGGATCTGAACTCGAGACTTTCGGGTTAGCAGTCAAACATACTACAATTCGACCATACCACAAAATTCCCAATAAAAATAACAAAAGAATAATAAATATAAACATTCAATCTGGTTATAAGTAAAAAAGTATATACTAATGCAGCTTGCATATATATGTAGCATTTTGAGGTGGCATATTTCACATTAAGAATTCATCATAAACAAAGTCTCATACACGCAGAGAAACCACGTTTTGAATTACCTTTCATTTCCATTTCAGGTGTGACCCTAAATAGACCCAGAAGTCGCAGAGAGCCAAACACGATGGTCATTGTTCCAAGTGTCCAGATAAAGAAGGTGCACACACCTGCCAATTGCCAGGCCAGCATCTAGAGAAATTTGGTTACACTTCAGTGATAATGTTACAACTACTTACAAGGACTGCAACTATACAAGAACGACACATCAGAAAAAAGTGAGTTGTAGATTCTACTATGAGTTTGCTAGCATTTATGGATGATGAAAGAAAAGTTCCCTTTCGAACAGCACAGTACATGAGGCAAGTGAAACAGAGTTCACCTGTTTCTGTGACTTCGGCATTTGAAGGGATAGTGTGGTCAGGACTATGCCCAGCTGCTTTTACTTTTCCTATCTAAGTCAGGTACCCATTAGAGCTGGGTGGACTCACAGACCTTCTACTGACTTGAACCCGGTTTCGAACTCGAGACTTTCGGGTTAGCTTTCTAGCGTTCTATCATTCGACTACTCCGTCGATACATGTAAAACCTATCTTTTAATTAAAAAAAATCTTGCACATAGAAAAATAAGGAGAAAATCGTACTAATTGGCTAATGAAATAAGATATTATAATCTGAGAATGCAGGGTAAGATGAGATATTCGCAGGGCTTGGAAATGAACTTACACATCCCGAGTGCTTATCCCAGGCCATTAGGATACCAGTGGGATATTTGACAAAGGCCACACTTAAAGCACCCCAGGCACCACCTCCAAAATGGACTGAAATGACAAAATTGTACGTGTCAGAAAATCAACAACAAACTGCTTTCAGTAGACAACATATTAGAAAATTTATATCAAGATCTGCCATATACATCATTTATTGATGCCAGAAATATTTTAGAGTAAGTTTACGTGTAGCAGAACATAGGCGTAGCAGCCTATTCCTGCACCCGAACGGATTATCAATTTTTCGCCCCTCAATTTCATTTCTATATATAGCTAATCCTGTCTGTGAAAAGGCGCACACATCCTAATTTGTGGCGCTTATTACCAGTTACTATTCCGTAACATTTTATATTTCGAAGCCACAAAATTGATATAGAAAACAACTAAATCAGTTTGTAAAGCCTTGTAGTCGTTTATTTTTGTAACTAGGACTGTGTGTAATACAATACTTCAGCTTAAAATGAGTTTTAAATTAATTTTTTACCCCTTTTGGGGACCCCTTAGTCGGCGACCGGGGCGGACGCCCCACCCGCTCCCCCTAACTACGCCACTGCAGCAGCATTAAAGTACGTAATGCAACTTAATTAATTCTTCGTAAAAGTTCTAGACTAACTAACCTCCGACTGCATTCAAAGGGTCATCAATCTTCCACTTCTGTAGTAGCACCTCGATACAGTTCATGACGATGGCGGCGACAAAACCTACGATGACGGCACCCCAGGGTTTCATAGAGTTGCACCCACCACAGATTGCCACCTGAAATTTTAAGGTCAAGGTCGTTAATACTTTTTTTTTTGGTTTTAGGTATCATGTTCAATAACTCCAAACCATGAAATGTGAGAGTTATCGTTATTATTTTAGGCTGTAATTATCAGTGTAATTTGTAAATAGGGATGAGCCGTGATATTTTGCTGAACGACGTCGCCGTAGTAGAAGAGGGTGTGTGTATGTGTGTGTGTGTGTGGGGGGGGGGGTATTGTAGATAGAACAAGCAACGAAACAAAAATACAATAGTGCTTTTTATAAATCAGAATTGAAAAACAACTGTCATAATGAAAATTCGAAAGCACGAGCGGAATCAAATGAATCGAAATATATTTTTTTAAGAAAAAAAAAGGAGTTAAGGGCGCCAATTTAAAGACTTGCAACGTACTGAATTTTTTTTTTAACGCTAAAACCTCAGAGTAAATCTTGCAGCCCTTTATTTACTCGCGTGGAATGTGTATAACTAAAGTCTACAATAATGTAGTTACCATGCCAACGAAAGCTCCGTTGATCACGCTAAGAATACTCCAGTGGTGGCCAAAGAGTCCAACCCTATAAAAAAACGAAATAATAATAATTAAAAAAAAACCTTCATTAGCAACAAATTAAGAAGTATACAAATCTGCAAATTACGATAAATGTTTAAATAAAGCAATACAATGTGTACAAAAACCACTATATTTTACTTCCCAATAATTTAAGTCTAATGTTTCTTTAAAACTCATACGCTGAAATATAGGTCAGACCAGTGGTTCGTAACCTATTTGGAGGAACCCCACCAGTTTTATTTGCGCATTCACCGAACCCTTCTTAATTGTTCTATCGTCCTCACCGACAGTATCCGATCATGAATCATATAAGTCGGGTATGTGTTTTGACCTCCGCCGAACCCCCGATATTGACTCAACGAGCCCCTGGGGTTCTATTGAACCCATGTTTTAAGAACCACTGATATAAATCATTTGAGTGCGGCGGAATTTTCTACCGGGGTACAAAACACGAGGAGGGAGTTAGAAGAAAATAATCCTTTTATAATGAGAACTTGGGATTCCGAACCCGCAACTGACGAGTTAGAATATAATACCCTCCATAACTACATATCAATACGGTAAAATTTTATATTTTGTATTACTTGAGACTTTTTATGGACTAGCCTTGTCCTTGAGGTCTACAGACCACACCTCACTGTTGTAGATTGATAAACTTTGCTTGTCGATATGATGCGAACTTTAATTGTGTTGTATATTGACAAACTTTGCTGTGTGTTTGTAGATATGGTATGAGCCTTACTTGTGTTGTAGATTGATAAGCTTTGCTGTATGTTTGTAGATATGGTTCTAGACTTACATGTGTTGTAGATTGATAAACTTTGCTGAGCGGTATATGGTTCTAGCCTTACTTATGTTGTAGATTGATAAACTTTGCTATGTGCGTAGATATGGTTCTAGCCTTACTTGTAGATTGATAAACTTTGCTGAGCGGTATATGATTCTAGCCATACTTGTGTTGTATATTGATAAACTTTGCTGTGTGTGTAGATATGGTTCTAGCCTTACTTGTGAGCAAACATGGAGGTGAAGGCCCCCATACTGGAGGAGATGGCCGTGTTGAAGACTGCCATACTGATGGCGGCCCCGTCCCCGGGGTGGGTGATGTGACCCTCTGAAGCGGCGTTGAAGGCCATGAACCCAAACACAAGGACGAAGGCACCAAGCCCAGCAAGCTGTGGGGAAATTAATCAAGTCAATTAAAATGAAAAACTAATTACGTGTCAACTTTATGGTGAATGAGTAAAAAAAACTTTTCGGACCAGGTGGTTGATAGTGTAGATGAAGTAGAGTTTATCTGTTTCTGTGATAAAGGGATAGTGCCTGAAGTTTTGTTTTTTTACTTTCCCTAGCGTAAGTCAGATAAACATCAAAGCTAGGTAGACTTACGGACATCATACGGACTTAAGTCTGGGATCCGAACTTGAGACTTTTGGGTTAACAGTCATAAGCACTACCCCCCGACAACATCTTCCCACCAACTTTACGGCACAGTGTTATAAAAGTCTATAGTCTATAGAGTACATACTGGGACTGAGTGACCGCGAATTGGAATAACAGCCCCGGTCTCCTTGTGGAATCTTCCAATACGAGGCCCGAGAATGGCTGCTCCTACGAAAGCTGATGTCCCGCCTACCAAATGGACCACACCGCTACCACCAAAATCCTGGGAGGATAAAATAACATTAAAAGTCAGCAATAACAGTAAATGAAGTAGAGTTAACGTGTTTTTATATAGGGAAAGTGTGGCAAGTTATGTGCCTTAACCTTTCCCTAACGAGTGTCAGGTAACCAAAATTAGCTGGATGAACTCAGTTACGTCCTAAGGACTCGAGTCTGGCTCTGAACTCCGGACTTTTGGGTTAGCAGTCGTACGCGCTAACTCTCAGCCACGCCACACAATGAAATTCAGCAATTTAAAAACCCGATTTAAAAAACAACTTTTTCAATGCATCGAAGAAAAGATGGGTTTGATTACCGTGTATCGGTCGCTTCTGTCCTTTGGTTCTCACCAGACTTATCTTCCACCTTATTGAACACAGGGTAAACTCGTACCCCACTGGCTCGACCGTAGGGGTAGTTTGGACCTAGTTGCATAATTACATGGGGCGGGTAAAAAGAGGTGGGGCAGAGAACCAATACTTTGTTGATACCCCCTGCTGGGTAACTATGACATACAACTTTTAAATCAGTAAAAACAAAAACCCATTGAAATGTCCAAACCCTACCTCGTATTTGACATGCATGATCTTGCCATCAATATCAAAGTCGTGGCCGATGTGCAGATAGCCGTACTGTGACCAGCCCCATCGACTACACAGCGGATAGACAAAGGCTGAAAGTAAAATGAAATCAGATCGTGAATTCCTAGAACCATTAGCATACTGTAGTCTAACGTCTTTTACAGCTAAACGAGTGAATGGATCTCTATAAAACTTCAAAGAAATCGGAAATTGATGAAAAATTTGTAGCGTTAACTATAAACGAATTAAAAAAAACATTTAATTTAACGTGAACAAAAAATTCTTAAAACAAAAACAAGAAAAATTCTAAACTCTACAAAGAAAACTCTAAAGGATGAATGACCTCTAAATAATGGAAGAAATTCGTAAATTATTGAAGAGAGACAATACACAATTTAACAAATACTATAGGAAACTAAAAATCAGTGAATGAAAATCAGTGTTTATTTCAATTTTCTCCGGGGATGGCGGAGAGGCGGATACTGTATATTTAATAATTTTTTGCTACATAAATTATATTTAAAAAATTTCGTCTTGTGTGTGTGAGTGTGAGTGTGTGAGTGTGTGTGTGTCTGTGTGTGTGTGTGTGTGGGATGGGGGGGGGGGGTCCTTGCTTCCGTAGGGAGGCGGTAGTAAAAATAAATCTCTAAATGACCGGAATACAACTCACCAGTTAGCAGAAAACTGTAAATCAAGTAAGCGATAAATTCACATCTCTCAGCCAAAGCTCCAGACACGATGGTGCAGGCCGTGGAGGCGAACATGAGCTGGTAGAAGTAGTTGGACATGCTCTCGTTGGGCACGTAGGACGACGCCCATTCCTTCCAACCTATGAAGCCGTTGCCGTAACCGTAGGCAAACGCCCAGCCGATAGCCCAGTAGGAAATGCCTGCCACGACTGAGGAAGAGATATCAGCTTTGTTTAACGTATATATTAACATATAGCTGACTTTTAAAGACTAATGTTTATGAATGGATGTAGGACAAAAGGCAGACATCCAAAAGACGGACAGAGATAAAAGACCGACATCCAAAAGGCCGACAGAGACAAAAGGCCGACATGATAGTAAAAGTGATCTTATAACAGTTGTCGCTTTTTTCTTAACAGGATAATTAATACACTAGTACTAAATACATCACAGAAGTGACGGCCAAACGTGATTCATCCTTGAAATATCTAGAGGCCACTAAAGATTTTTATTTTAAATTCACAAAATTAAACAACAACGTGTTGCTTAGTTGTAGAAAGCACCCATGTAGAGCCAAAATACTCGAGTTCGGATCCTGTGTTCGAGACTATAGGACGTCCCTGAGTTTTGCCCAACTGTAATGGGTACTTGAATCACGCAAGGGAAGCAAAGATGGCTGGGTACAGTGCTAGCCACACTGTCCCTTGATTTTCCTGAGGTCACCGAGACAGGTAAACTCTACTTCATCTTCTCCACGGATCGCCAGTCTCAAAAGGGTAATCCTATTTTTATTGCTTTATTTGGACACCCTCATAACCTGCTACATTATATTTTAATCATTTGGAATGTTAAAGCCAGCACTTACATGAGTCGAGGTAGTTCTTGAGTAGAATGTTGTGGGTGTTTTTACTCCTTACACTTCCAGCTTCGATAAAAGCAAAGCCCATGGTCAACACTGTTGGAAAATACACGCACTTTAATTTACTTTATGAGATGACAAAGATTTCTATACTAGATTAGACTTAAAGTATTCATTGCCTAATCTAATATGATATCATACTAATACAATTATGCTGTATCTGGTACGTCTTAATTATTTTTATTCAAGTGGGAATAATTAAAGCTGGGAATAATTAAGTTGTCTAATCTTACATTGAGAAGTGTGCTGCCATTACATAAACAATAATAATTTTTAAAGAATTTAAATTTTTTAAAGATTTTGAAACGGGCATGTTACTAGTATCTGTGAAAAATATTCTAATACAAACGGTTAATTTACTATTATGTGTAGAATATTATAATCTAAATAGATAAATCTATACTAGAACGTTTCTAGTATCCGTAGAATATGTTAGTCTAAACTCTAAACGGTTACGTTACTACTATGTGTAAAATATATTAATCTAAACGGGTACGTTACTAATATGTGCGAAAATATTCTAATCTAAACGGGAACGTTTTCAAATCTAAACGGGTACGTTTCAAGAGTGTATTACTGTATTATTTAGATAAAGGAGTTACAGAAAATTATGATACCAAGCGGGCACATTACTAGTGTGTATCAGTGGTGTAGCGAGGTCGGTTTCCACCCGGTGCGGCACTTAATGGTTTCACCCCCCCCCAGAGGCGTAGCTACCCTTCCCGGGGACAAACTTTCAATTTTTGATTTGCACTCCCCCCTCAAACATTAGATTTGCACTCTTACAAGACTATTTGACACTCGAATTAATCACTCAATTAAGTGGAATTATCATTTTTCTTTATATATTTTGCTATTTTTTGCCTTGGTTTCACCCCCCCCCCCCCTAAAATTGTGTCACGCGGTGCGGTCCGCACCCCCGCCCCCCTCGCTACGCCACTAGTGTGCATTAAAGTATTATTTACAAAAAAGGACTTACACAGGATCATGATGCCAAAGACGAGCTGGTAGAACTGGTCCATGTTGAGGACGAGAGCGTCAAAGTAGTAGTTGAGCTCCCTGAGACTGCGCTCAGTGGCTTGAAGAATCGGCTCGGTGGTGTTGCCGTCTGACGCGAAGGTGGACGCCATGGTGGTTGCCATGGTAGCGAGAGTGCTGGTTGCCGTGGACGCGAGAGTACTGGACGCTGTGGACGCGAAAGTGCTGGATGCGGTAGATGCAAGAGTACCGGAAGCGGTTGACGCGAAAGTGCTGGCCGCGGTAGATGCAAGAGTACCGGAAGTGGTTGAAGCGAAAGTGCTGGACGCTGTGGATTCTAGAGTGCTGCTCGCGATGGAGACGAGAGTGCTGATCAGCGAGCTGGATGACGTCGCAGTGCTTGAGTCCACTGATGTCATTTGGTCTCCTGGTCTTTAAATTATTCGAATCTGGTTGACAAAAAAATACAGATATATTGAGGGCTCGTGAAGTCTTTGGGATGTACGGAAATTAGAGAAAGTAGTATTTGAACGTGGAGCTGGCTCAGTTGGAAACATACAGTCGGGGACTTAATTATTCCCACTTGATAATAAATAATTAAGAAATACCAGATACAGCATAATTCTGTTAGTATGATATCATATTAGATTAGGCAATAAATACTTTAAGTCTTATCTAGTATAGAAATCTTTGTCATCTCATGAAGTACATGAAAGTTTGTGTATGGGGAAGATTGTGGATACCGGAGAAAGTGGAGGATTGTGTCTAAGCACATCCGGGGTCCGGAGAAAGTGGAAGATTGTGACTGAACACTTCCGAATCCGGATAAAGGGAAGATTGTGGCTGAACACTTCCACGGTCATGGTAAAGGGAAGATGGTGGTTCTGGTCCTACCCTCCACAAGGAGTAAACAGGACTAAGTCAGATCAAAGCAAGCTCGGCGTGATCAAGTCGGTAAAGCTCATGGTTGCTAAACCAAAAAGTCTCGAGTTTTAACCATCGGGCAGACAAGGCTCGATAGCTGGGGACAGCCAATCTTCTAGGAGAAATCAGTTGTTGCGTTTCTTCACATCGTAGCAACGACAATATTTCAAAATCCACTTAATACAGCTAAAGCAAATGAGCGTATTTAATTTCTTTTTACATAACACGACATACTTAGTATACTTAATATTTAAAAAACGACGGACAGCCGTCTATGATGGTGGGGCACTAAGTCCCAGGTAATTACGCCATTCAATATTGAGAACAATTCTGCAGTTTTATAGAGGTTTACTTAAAAGAAAAACAATCCTCTTTAGACCTCTTTAGATGAAGTAGAGTTCATGTTTCTTGACCTAGGCTTGTGAAGGGATAGTGTGGTCAGCACAATGCCTAGTCGCTTTTACTTTCCCTAACATGAGCTAGGTACCCATCAAAGCTTGGTGGAGTCACGGGCGTTCTACTGACTTAGACCGGCATTCGAACTCCAGTAATTTACCAAACAAAAACATCTTCAATTTCTAAATAGCAGCGAGCTCCATAACTTTTTTGAAAAACATGTAGTGTTATGTATTACATTATAAGTCAATATAATTTTTTTACATGTATTGTTATGTATTACATTATAAGTCAATATAAATTAACAGCAGAAACTTACCTACGATAAACGTAGTAGATAAAAATATCACAATGTTAAGCTTCTTATAAATTGTTGTTTTTTTTTTAAGACGCCTCACAGAAAGGAATGGCTCCAAAACTCCAAAAGACCAAGGAATGCTTGGAACCTTTTAGGTCATCAATGATCGAATCATATCTGTTGGTACTGGACACGCTAGTCGTTGACCTCATAAATATGTCTGGTGGAAACACGTTGTCATAGAAACTGTAGAGGTCGGGTCCAGTTGGAACAGTTCTGGGCGAAGACCTTCTCTGTCGTGCTGGTGTTGGGAGAGTGCCTGGTTTTGTCAGCAAGAGGCGGTTAAATACGGAAGTTGTCCCAGATATTATTTAGGTTGATTGGAACAGGCGAGGTAAAAAAAAAATACGTGCACGGGGTGTTGGAGAGGGGTGGGTGGGTGGGGGTAGAAGGGAGATAACTCATCAAAAGATTTTTCTTACGTCTATCGCTTTGATGCAATGTACGTCATAGATTTTTATTCAGACGTACACAAAACGGACACGCATTTGAATTAAAAAAAAAACTACCGTGAAATACGTCATTATTTTTTGTGTTCAGCCAAATAAATTGAGAATTCGGTTTCAACTTGCTGATTGGTTGGGGTGGCTGCTAATTTGCATAATGAGCTGTTGGCTTCCATTGTTGACCTTGCAGGGGTGGAGCGTCGTGTCGACGGGGCTGAAGTCACTAAAGCGTGACACGCTGTTAAAAAACGGGGAATAAAAGTCTTTCTGTTTGTAAGTTAAAGTTCTAATCCATTGCATGGGGGGGGGGGGGGGGGTGGAGTATGGGTTGGGTTGGGTTTCAATAAAACGGTGGGTCGTTGGGTTGGATTACAAACTGACAGCAGAAGGAAACGGTTTCTTTTTTTTTTAAAATATATTTTTTATAATAACGTTGACAGAAACATTTTTTTTAAGGTTAAAAAAAAATTCTTTCGGTATCACCAGCTTGACCGTGGGGTTAGGTTTTAACTTAAGTTATAATCGAGTTATGGGTCAGGGAAATTGTCAGGGTTTTGTTAGGGGTAATGGAATGGCGTGGTTGGGTGGTAGGGCGCCGGACTGCTGACCCGTTGGTTGGGTACTCGCATTATTATCTGGTAGCAGTGGGCTACATTTTAAAAAATCTTATAAAAACATTGGCAGAAACATTTTCTTGAAGTTTTCTTTTTATATGGCAGAAACATTTTCTTGTAGTTTTCTTTTTATAAAAAAATCATTCTGTATCGCTTGCTTGATCATGGTTAGGATTTAAGTTAGAGTCAAGTTTGGGTTGGAGATGTTGTCAAGATTACTTTGAAGGAATGGGGTGGCGTGGTTGGGTAGTAGAGCGCTTGCCTGCTGACCGGAATGTTTTAGGTTCGAGTCCACCTTGAGTCCATTCAGCTCTAATGAGTACCTGTACAACAGGCTCTGTCATAGGTTGTTTCGTGTATTACATAACTTGAGGTGTAATTGCATGGTGTAATTACATTTAAGGCAGGTGAAATCGTGTGATGTTTTTTTTTACTGTTTTTTAACTATAATGGGTTAGGTTTATTATAAAATGTGTAGCAAATATCATTACAAATACCATACTTATGCCAATCATAAACCCTAACCTTAACTACAATATTAAACATTTCCTGGTTTAAAGCCTCATTCACTAAACAGATATTGCATTACTGTACGTAACACTCGTGTTATTGGTAGATTCCATTGTAAAAGATGTGTAAAAATAAATCATGCTAATATTTTTCCCTTTTCGAAAATTTTGTTCCACAGATAGTAATATCCTAGGTTGGGCATAGGGGTATAGGCCTACCGTTGACTTAAACTACAAGAGACTAAATAGAAGGGAGAAGGAAACGAGTGTGTTTGTGTGTGTCTGTGTGTGTGTGTGCTTGTAAATGGGAAGAGACGAAGTTAGGGGAGGGAGTTATATGGTTGGGTGGCGGAAGTGTACTGTTTATGCTGATGTACTTTACGCTATCCCAGTTTACACCTCAACACATAGTACTTTTTTTTTTAAATCGTAACTTTTAATACAGCATCGCTGGTAAATATTATATGAACATGCGTTATTTTTATAATAAATAAATACTTAAGTGTCCATTCGGGCATTTGTCGCATTGGGGCAAGTGTCCATTCGGGGGATCGGCCTTCGGGCAAACGGCATTCGGGCAAGTGTCTTTAGGGAATTTGTCGTTTATATATATTATATATAATATTATATATATATATATATATATATATATATATATATATATATATATATATATATATATATATATATATATATATATATATATATATATATATCATTGGTTGTGTTTTCTGTCTTGGTTGTGTTTTTCTGTCTTGGTTTTGTCGACTATGTCAGTGTGACTCTACGGGTCCATCTATACAGTCCCTGCCCCCCCCCCCCCCCACCCCGGCTATGTTAGTGTGACTCTACGGGTCCATCTATACAGTCCCTGCCCCCCCCCCCCCCCCCCCCCGACTATGTCAGTGAGACTCTTCGGGTCCATCTATACAGTCCCTGCCCCCCCCCCACCCCGACTATGTCAGTTAGACTCTTCGGGTCCATCTATACAGTCCCTGCCCCCCCCCCCCGACTATGTCAGTTAGACTCTTCGGTCCATCTATACAGTCCCTGCCCCCCCCCCCCCCCCCCCCCCGACTATGTCAGTGAGACTCTTCGGGTCCATCTATACAGTCCCTGCCCCCCCACCCCGGCTATGTTAGTGTGACTCTACGGGTCCATCTATTCAGTCCCTGCCCCCCCCCCCCCCCACGCTTTCACCGTCAAATCGTGATAGATTTCAAGGTTGACTGCAAACGGTGACGTCACTGTGACGTCCATGTTCTCCAGACGCCCATTCAGACGCTATCCAAGGGACGATCGACCATTGTCCTGGTCTCGCCCCCGTGTAAACACCACTACCTCCCCTCCCCCCAGGGGCGTATCTACAGATCAGCAACGTGGAGGGGTGAATCGAAAAGGCGCTTGGTAAAGGGGATGTGGGGTGACTGTTTGAATGCCTGTACACATGTATGTAAGGAAGTGCTCCCCTGTGTGGGTACCCTTGCCTTGTTACACATTTACTACACACTTAGGATCACTCAATGGGAGAGTAAAGGCTGCTGGGAAAAATGCTGACCATCCCTTCCCTTCATATGCCGAGGTCAAGAAACATATGAACTCTACTTCATGTGCCCAATGGATCGCCAGGTCTAAAGATAATTCTTTATACCCGAGTATAAGTGAACCTAAAGCAGTTATGGTCACTTATATGTCTAGGAATAAACTTAGCTAGATAGTGAGTTCGAAAGGTTCGAGTGGATGGGATCAGGCTAAGGAGTCAGCCTTAAATGGCATTACTTAAATTTCGATATTCCACATGTCTTCCTCCCAATCATCGTAACACATTGTCATAAAACGGCGTATTTCCCTTACGATATGACGTAACAAAATACCAACTTCAATGTCAATCAACAAAACAACAACACTAATTACTAAAAAAAAGTCTTTTATTTTCGAGGGAAAAAAATGAAATGTCAGATTTCATTAACCAACCTCGGCACCAAAGTCCCTTACCCAAGAATGTGATATCAGTTTTTCCTCCCTGACTTTTTTTCTCCGAGTGGGGGGTGGTACTTGATATTTTCGGGGGGTGGGGGGGGGGGACTACATTTTCCGACGCGGGGAGGGGCGGACACTGGTAAACATATATATTTTCTATATAAATTCCATTTCGTTTGGGGGAAGGGGGAA